GTTGTGAGGGAGCGATTTGGCTACTGCATAAATTAGTTTGCTCTGGAGCCCTCCTTCCTGAGCGAGGACAAAAATGTGTGAGCCGGAGGCTAAAGAACTGTGAGCTAGCTCACACTAACTCAGCTTAGAGGGAACAGGAGTCGCGGGTGGTGGTGGAGGGGGGTGAGGTATTTGTGAATCTCCTGCATTGAGCAGTGAGTTGGACTAGATGACCCTGAAGGTCCCTTATAACTGTATGATTCTATGGTCACTGGTGATTTGACTGGTTCTGCAGATTTTTAAAAAAGGTAGTGTGGGCAGCAGCTGCCACCACAGCACAGGGGTCTTCACTGTGACATTGAAGGTAAGCCGCAGCAGCCATTTTGGGGCAGGCTCCCCTCCTGGGGCAGCCGGTTTGTGGCTGCACCCGCCACATGGCCTCGGAATTGCGAAAGTGTCCACGGTCTCAAAAAGTGTGGGAACTCCTGGGATACCGTGATGGCCACTAAGATGGCTTTACAAGGCGATTTGGCAGCCAGTCCCCTCTGCATTTGTATTTAGATTTTTCACATACCCAAGCTCTGCCTCCTGAATTTCCAGGTCAGAATTTCCGAAATGCTCCCTCACAACCATTCCTTAAAAAACTCGTGGATTGGTCTGGATGCACGTGAAATGCCAAGGTGCAATCAACTCTGCGAAAGGCAACATGTTGTGAATCTTGCTCCTGATTTGCAGCATCGGATCAGGAAGCGAGTTCAAACCCCCCTTTGCTGCGGGGAGTGGAACGGGGGTCCCCCACCCTTTTGAGCCTGAGGGCAATTTTGGAGTTTTGACACGGCATGGTGGGCCCAGCCACTAAATGCCTGCTGCACCTTACTTTCAGTCACCAGCGAAGATCCTTTGTGCTGTGATGGCAGCTGCTGCCAAAGCAACATTTTTATGTATCTGTACAGATACTGTACAGACGTATCTGTATCTGTACAGATGTCGAACTGCAGGCTGTGGAAGGTCAGTAGATTGGCAGTTCGAGACCCGAGTGCCTCATGACGGAGTGAGCTCCCGTTTCTGGTTCCAGCTCCTGCCAACCTCACAGTTCGAAAGCAAATAATTGCAAGTAGATAAATAGGTACCGCTTCAGAGGGTAACAGCGTTCAGTGTGCCTTGGCGTCTAGTCATGCCGGCCACATGACCACGGAAACGTCTTCAGACAGCGCTGGCCCTTTGGCTTGGGAACAGGGATGAGCACCGCATCCCTAGAGTCGGACTCGACTGGCTTTCGAGAAAGGGAAACCTTTACCTATGCCTTACAGCTTATCAAATCTCCAGAGGCCAATCTGAGTATTACCTGGGCAAAAGCCCCGCTTGGCCCTGCCCCCTTTCTTAAAACACTCTGTGGGCACCAGGAGAAGTGCTGGCAGGCGCCAGGCCCGTAGCCAGGATTTTGTGGCTCCTGGGGCAATTTTTTTTTCTGGTGGGGGCAGAAAGAAAAGCCATTTAGCCAACAGAAAGCTGTTACCAGGATAGATCTCTAAATTGCAAGCTGTCAACCACTCCAGATGACAGTTCTCAGCTGCTGCAAGTTAATCACTTCTGCCAGCCTAAGCAACAGTTTTGATAACAACCCAGCGGGGGGTGGGTGGGTGATAACTTCTGTAGTCAAGAAAGCTAACACTTAGGCAGAAAAACTCTCTTAAAGAAGACCAGTTTCTTGACAGAGTTAGAAGTGTACCTAGAGGTCACCTACTCCAACCCCTTTGCTCAGTGCAGGAATCAGTCAACTACAGCACCCCACTCTGCTTAAAGGAGTGCACACCTTTTAAAAAAAATGTTTTAAAATGATTGGAAAAAGCATTTACAGGAGAAATTCTTGTGGGACTGTGCCTTTAAGAAAGGGGGCTGAGCCCCCAAAAGCCCCACCGTAGCTACAGGGGATCTGAGAGTAGACCCTTGAAGCTTAGAACTCATCATATAGTTAGATTCAGGATGCTGGGATGAGGGCAGGAATATCCATTTAACCAGATGCACGCAGGAAATGTCCAAATCCAGTATGTGTATTGGAAGGTCCACAAGGAAAAGCAAAAGATGTACATATTGATGCCACAGGGAAAAAAGGCAGAATTTAGCATCCTGAAAATATTTGATTCCTCCTCTCCAAAAAGGCAGTTTCGAACCCATGTGCTGGGTAGAAACCTGAGGGTCCAACTAGACATACCTGTGGCCGCTGATGCCATGGTGATGGGCTGTTTCAGCACTTGAAAAGACATGGTGGGAGAAACAAGAGTCTGTGCGGCGGCATTTTTAAAAATGGCTAAATCCTTCTGTAAGATGGCAGCGGCCATGGGTCCAACCCGTGGCTACTGTAACACCTAGTCTTGCCCTGATGGATGGCAGGGAAATATTTCTAGGGGTTGGGGGTGGGTACTCTCTAGTGAAACCAGAATAAATTATAAAAAAACAAGCACTTTGCATAATTTGTACGGGTGGCAGAATTTGGATTTCCTTTGCATGGAATTTTAATTTTGTTTATTTTAAAGAATGTCAAATAGTTGCATTCCTGACTCAGGCGCGTGAACTGTTATGTTTTTGGCTTTCAGAGAAGAGTGGGTCCTGTTATCCCCCCCCCCCCACACACACACAAAAGAGGAATATGTATGTATGTATTTTCGGGTGGGGAAAGCTGAATGCCTCTTTCTCTTCTTTTTTTGCACTCCTCAGCCCCCTATTGCAAAGATCTTATCAGGAGCCTGGAATCCAACCCGGTCTCCCGCATTTTATGGCAGGGCATCAAACCCCTGTTTGTCGGCAAAATTCTGTACACCCCTCCTACGCCTGCCACGCAGAAGGTCATGGCTGAGGTGAGACAGAGAAGTCCTTTTTGGGGTGACAGCCATCTTCTGGAAGTGTGTGTGTGTGTACGGGGGAACCTTTTGGTGACAGTCGGGGTGGAGGATAGCCCTCTAGGGTAGCAGTAGAAACGAGCAAGAGTCCAGGGTGTCTGTTGTGGGGAGGTGAAGGGAAAGGAGCTTGTAAGCTGCTCTGAGACTCCTTTGGGTAGTGAAAGATGGGGTATAAATCCAGTCTCTTCTTCTTTTACCTCACAGGGTGTCTGTTGTGGGGAGGGGAAGGGAAAGGAGCTTGTAAGCTGCTCTGAGACTCCTTTGGGTCGTGAAGGGCGGGGTATAAATCCAGTCTCTTCTTCTTTTACCTAACAGGGTGTCTGTTGTGGGGAGGGGAAGGGAAAGGAGCCTGTAAGCCACTCTGAGACTCCTTTGGGTAGTGAAGGGTGGGGTATAAATCCAGTCTCTTCTTCTTTTACCTCACAGGGTGTCTGTTGTGGGGAGGGGAAGGGAAAGGAGCTTGTAAGCCGCTCTGAGACTCCGAGTGAAGGGCGGGATATAAATCCAACCTCTCTTCTCCTTCTTCTCCTCCTCCTCCTCCTCCACCTCTTTAAAGAATAACAAAATATGTGGAAGTGAGCAGCGACTCATGAAAGCTCATCCCCTGCCACATATTTTGTTAGTCTTTCAGGTGCTCCTGGACTCTTGCTCTTTTCTCCTGCTTACAGACAGTCTAACACAGCCGCACATTTTGATCTCTCCGAGGAAGCAATGATTCATGAAAGCTCTTCCCCTGCCACAAATTTTGTTAGCCTTTCTGGACTCTTGCTCTTTTCTACGGCTGCCAGACAGACTAAATCGCCCACCCATCTTGACCTTTGGGGTAGGCCACGCAATCCTCTTCCCCTGCCACAAATTTTGTTAGCCTTCCTGGACTCTTGCTTTTTTCTACGGCTGCAGACAGACTAAATCGCCCACCCACCTTGACCTTTGGGGTAGGCCACGCAATCTTGTGACTCCCCTCTCCCATTGCCCTGTGACACGGTGCCCATCTTTCACCAGGGTGGCAATGTCGTGTCAGTGGGGTTTCTCAAGCACACGGAAGATGCAGACCTATCGTGGAGGTCTCCTGTGCACTTGAGCTTCCAGGTCCAGAGGCAGTCTACCTCTGGATATCAGGTGCTGGGGGCTAAGCACCAGGGAGGCTTTCTGCGGTTATCTGGTCAGCCTCTGTGGATCTTCGGTCTGACCCAGATTCATGGTTATGGCAGCTGTACCTCGCAACCTCCAGGTGAACCGGACCTTCCAGAATCTGGCTGTGCTACGGGAAGTGAGGGGAGCCTGGCAGGACCTGGGGCCCCAGATCTACGCCTTCATGAATGCCAGCCTCGAAGTTGCCGCCGTTCAGGTCTGTCTCTTTTTTTGATGCTCGGCCTTCCTTAGGCCTTTGTGGCTGGGAGGGGGGGAAGAGTCAGGGCGCGATGCAGAGGGGCTTGTTTTTCCAAAACTGCATTTCTGTCTTTGGTCGGTGCTGACCTTAGAGCAGGGATGCCCAACACGGTGCCCGGGACACTTGCCGAAACCTCTCTGAGCAGCCACCAGGTGCTTTTAGAAAATGAGCTGGGCCTGGCAGGGCTGCTGGCCATTGGAGATTTTTAAAGATGTCGCATCGGTGGCCGCTGCAACCCAATGCTCCCTCTAAGCCGTGAAGTTTTGTGAGGAAAAATCCTGCCTGTGCTGACCTTAGAGCAGGGATGCCCAACACGGTGCCTGGGACACTTGCCGAAACCTCTCCGAGCAGCCACCAGGTGCTTTTAGAAAATGAGCAGGGCCTGGCAGGGCTGCTGGCCATTGGAGATTTGACTGGCTGTGCAGATTTTTAAAGATGTCTCATCGGTGGCCGCTGCAACCCTATGCTCCCTCTAAGTTGTGGAGTTTTCTGAGCAAAAATCCTGCCTTGTGAGCCACTGGCATTAAAGCTGTGAATGAGCGATTTGGCTGCTGTGTAAAATAGCTTGCTCTGGAGCCGTCCTTCCTGAGCCAAGACAAAAATGCGTGAGATGGAGGGTAAAAAACTGTGAGCTTAGAGGGAATACTGCTGCCACCATAACCCAAGGATCTTTCTGGTGTGACTGAAGGTAAGCTGTGGCAGTCGTTTTGTGACTGTCTCAGCCTCCTGTGGTTGTGGCAGCCATTTTGTGACTGTGTCTACCACCCTGTGTCAGAATTCCAAAGGTGCCCCCAGGCTCAAAAAGGTTGGGGACCCTCTCCTTTGAGCCAGTTTGGTGTAGTGGTTAAGTGTGCGGACTCTAATCTGGGAGAACTGGGTTTGATTCCCCACTCCTTCACTTGCAGCTGCTGGATGACCTTGGGCAAGCTATAGTTCTGTCAGAGCTGTTCTCTCACAGACAGTTCTGGAAAGAGCTCTGTCAGCCTCGCCTACCTCACAGGGTGTCTGTTGTGGGGAGGGGAAGGGAAAGGAGTTTGTAAGCTGTTCTGAGACTCCGAGTGAAGGGCGGGGTAGATTGGATTTATACCCCACCCTTCACTATCTGAAGAGTCCAGGAGCACTTGAAAAACTAACCCCACCCTTCACCACTCTGGATAAATCCACTCTGGTGATTTATTCACTCTGACACAAGAGAGAGAGAGAGAGAGAGAGAGAGAGAGAGAGAGAGAGAGAGAGAGATGTAAACAAGAAGTTTGATGCCGGCTACCCGAGCATTCCAGAGTTGAAGGTTCGACCTAGAAATCTGAAGCACCTTTGTTCATTTCCACAGAACCTTCTGGAAACCCCTGGGGTGGCCCATTTCCTGGAGCAGCGCCTGAGTGGAACGTTCTGGAATGTGTCAACCTTGAGGGACTTCCTGTCGGCAGACTCAGGAGGTCGGGCCTACACTTGGCGCGATGCCTATGCTGAAGTGGATGAGGTCATTGACACCTTGTCCCGGTTTATTGAGGTGTGTTTGGGGTCACGTGTTATGTATCCCTTACCCCCTCCCCAGTATCCTCCTTTACTGGATCTTTACTGGAGCTCTAAGTAAGTACGAGGGCAAGTTGTAGTGTTGGTGGGATGGGATCCTGGCAGGCAGGTGTGTATTCCTTGTACACGCTGAGGGTGACGGCAACCCCTTGTCCCCTAGTGTGTCTCGTTGGACAAGATCGAGGGGGTGTCGTCTGAAGAGCACCTCATCTCACGAGCCATGCAGCTGCTGGAGGACCGTCAGTTCTGGGCCGGAGTTGTGTTTCTGCCACCGGATAACCAGAGCGAGCTTGGCCCGGACTTGCCAGCCCGTGTCCGCTTCAAGATCCGCATGGACATCGATGATGTCACGCGCACCAACAAGATCAAGGACAGGTGCAGCCAGATTTGGGGAAACTGGGATGCTTTATCTTTCTCTTCATTAAAAGTGGAGATACCAACTCCACTCTGACACAAAAGAGAGAGAGAGAGAGAGAGATGTAATTTTTTTAGCCACTAATGCAGTGGTGTCAAACATATACAGCCCATGAGCCGGAACCGGCCCATTCGGGGCTCTTATCTGGCCCATGAGCAACTGGTCATTTCCTTTATTGCCAGATGATAGAGGCTGTGCGATATGTCCCCATAGATCAGAGGTGGCAAACTCATTTGTTATGAGGGCAAGTTCTGACATTAATGAGACCTTGTTGGGCCGGGCCATGTGTGTCATAAAATGTAATGCCAGGTAGCGGAGATAAAAACTTTATAAAGGGCATAAACACAAAGGTTTTTTTAAACTTAAAATAAAAACATGCTTAAAACATTAGCACTCTTGCAATATTTTGTTTATTTGACAGTGTCTGATAACTGACACCTCTTGCTCTGAATTATTGCATCAAAATGTCTGTGCTGTTGCAATCTTGAGTATGCTGTTCAGGTGTGTAGCTGTAAGCTGCAAACCTACGATGATGCAGCGGCAGCAGAACTGGAAGAAGCAGCAGAAGATAGCCAGTTCCACTGTGGGCCTGATAGAAGCCCTCCGGGGGCCTGATCCGGCCCCCGGGCCACATGTTTGACAGCACTGTCCCAGTGCTAATACGTAATGGGTGGTGGAACTGGAAGGGCAGGCATCAGGGAGCTACTGTAAGGAAATACTGTAAGAGCATTAATGTTTTAAGCATGTTTTTCTTTTGAGTAAAAATAATGTTTTTAATTGGGTTTGCCTGTGTCCTTTATAAATTTTATATCTCCTGTCCCTGGGATTACATATTATAGCTCAAATGGCCTGGCCTGACAAAGTAACATTCATGTCAGATCCGGCTGGAGTCTGTTTTGTAAGACGAAGGAAGTCATGCAGATAGTGTTGAGGTGGTGGCTGGCGAGGTCTCAGTATACTGAGAAGGACCCCAGGGGCAGGCTGGGAAATGAAGACGGTTCTGGACTCAGCTGAGCACTCCGATGCAGCCAATGGCTGTGATGATGGTCCGAGGGGTGTCAGGCCAGATCTCCTGCTTGAGACACAAGCCCCGCCCCTCCAGGAGCAGGCTAGCAGTTGTTAAAGGTGCGGCACCTACTTAACAGTGGTTAGTACCCCAAGAAGGTTGGGGTGGTTCAGGGCTTTGTGAGGACTAGGGTCGCTATCCCCCCGATGGGGGCGGGGGGTTACCCGCTTTCGGGGGGCCCTGTTTGCTGCTGCTGAGCTGGCTGGCAGGGGAGCCCCACCCCCAAGCAGCCCAGTCCATGCCAATATGCTTGTCATGATGATGTCATCCGGAAGTGGTCGCTTGGGGGACGCTTTAGCATCTGAGGGGGGGAAAACACTCTATGGTAACCATAGAGTTTTTTCTTAAATGCTAGAGTGTCCCCTTGCAGCGTGCCCTGCGCGATAAAGTCACCTCTGGGTGACGTCATTGCGGTGCGTGCACTTTGCATATGCTCCATGATATCCAGGACAACAGGCTGGAGCCCTCCGCAGCAACAGATAGGGAGGGATGTGGCAACCCTAGTGAGGACTTAAGGTAGGTCAGTTGGGGAGAGACCTCAGTTTTTGCAGTCGGCTCTGGGGTGGAGGTCGGGTTGCCAGGTGCCCACTAAGGCGAGTGGAACTCCCGTTCCCACCCTCCATTGCCTGCCCTCCCTCCCGCGAGAAGCAGGAGGAAAATGGGGGGAGGGCAACTGCACCTCCGGCAACGCTCCAGGAACTGACCCAACAATCTCTCTTGTATATACCATAGAGTTTGGGCTGACTCCAGAAGCACCATGGTGTCCCTTCTGGCTCTTTACCTGGATGTGACATTCCAATGTCAGTGATGCGCGGACTCTAATCTGGGAGAACCGGGTTTGATTCCCCACTCCTCCACTTGCACCTGGCTGGATGACCTTGGGCAAGTTTGCACCTGGCTGGATGACCTTCTGGCACAGCTGTTCTTGAAAAAGAGCCGTTTCTGCCAGAGCTCTCTCAGCCCCGCCTACCTCACAGGGTGTCTGTTGCAGGGAGGGGAAGGGGAAGGAGTTTGTAAGCCATTCTGAGACACCTTTGGGTAGTGAAGGGCGGGGTATAAATCCAGTCTCTTCTTGTTCTTCTTCTTCAAACAGTTCACGGGGTGTGTGGGCCTGCCATTCCTCGATGGTGTCAGAAGGCAGGGCTGTATCCCAGGGTGAGAGGGCTGGCTCATATTCTTGGGGCTCGTCGAAGGGGGTTCCTGGAAGCGCCTCAGCCTCCTCCTCCTTTGGTAGTGTCAGGCATTCAGCCCCCTCCTCCCCCAAATCTTCAGTCTCTCTGCCTGACGAGGAGAAGTCTGTTCTCTGGTCCCTGACACCAGGCGATGGCCCTTGGCCTGTGGGCATTGCTGTTGGTGAGCTACGTGTGCCCGTGTCACTCCGTGTTGCCTTCGCAGTGTGCCCGTGTCACTCCGCTTGTTCCCAGCTGCCTTCCCGTACAGAGGCCAACTGGGGACTTCCCTGCAAATTTAAAGGACCGATCTGCTCCAAAAGCGTGGCCAGACTGGGCACTGCCGAGTGCATTGCAAGGGGTCGTTCGTCAGTCCCCGTCTGAGTCGTTTCTTGTTTCGTTCCTTAAGCGTTGAGTGTCGTTCCCCCGAAACTCACCCTTCTTTCCTGCTTGTGCCCCGTTCAGGTTTTGGGACCCGGGACCGGCTGCCGATCCCTTTGAAGACTTGCGTTACGTCTGGGGTGGCTTTGTCTATGTGCAGGACCTTGTGGAACAGGCGGTGGTGCGGGTTCTCTCGGGGATGCCGTCGCTGCGCCGCACGGGTGTCTATGTGCAGCAGATGCCTTACCCCTGCTTCGTGGACGATGTGTGAGTTCCGGCAAGCTTCTGGTCCTCACGGGCATTGGGGAACTCTATAGCCCAGCCTCTGCGGGAGGCTCCATCCGTTGGGCGTTTCAGTGTGTACGGAGCCTTTTCTCTGCTCTGCCTGCCCCTTGTTCCTTCCTGGCTTCGGCCTCCCCGACTCCTCTCCTGAGACACTGACCGATTCCCCACAAGCCGCTGCTCCGTCCTCGCGCTCCCCTTTCCCCCAATTACATTAGTCAATTTCCCACTACTTGCAGCGCGGCCGCATTTTGCCCCACAGCTTCGCCCGATTTCCCCCGTGTCTACTCGATCCTGTTTTTTTGAGGATCAAGTAGACGCAGGAGAAATCTTGCCAACATATACAAAAGATAGGGAACCTCAAGGGACACTAAACCAAATGTAAACTGGGAAACTGGAAATGCTCACGCAGTCTTTAACATTGCTTGTTTAAGATTGAGGTTTAAGACATGATTGAGGTTTATAAGATTATGCATGGGAAAGAGCAGGTAGAGAAAGAGGTACTTTTCTCCCTTTCTCACAATACAAGAACTCGTGGGCACTCCATGAAATTGCTGAGCGGTCGGGTTAGAACAGATAAAAGGAAGTACTTCTTCACCCAAAGAGTGATTAACACTTGGAATTCACTGCCACAGGAAGTGGTGGCGGCTGCAAGCATGGACGGCTTCAAAAGGGAATTAGATAAGCATATGGAGCAGAGGTCCATCAGTGGCTATTAGCCACAAGGTATAGATAGAGACTCTGGGGCAAGTGATGCTCTGTCATCTTGGTGCTTGGGGGGGTCAACAGTGGGATGGCTTCTAATGTCCTGGCCCCACTGGTGGACCTCCTGATGGCACTGGTATTTCTGGCCACTGTGTGATACAGAGTGTTGGGCTGGATGGGCCTTTGGCCTGATCCAACATTGGCATCTCTTATGTTCTTATGTTCTTAAGATTTGTGTATCCGACTAACTGCATGAAGGAACGCTATTAACAAATCTTTTAGAGGTTGATTCTTTGGCTTCAAGAATGTCAACCTTGGGGATCTGTTGAAGTATTGGTCGTCTCTTTGACAAAGGCCCAGTGAAATGGGAAAATTTGATAGCCTCTGGCTCACAAGTTTTTGTCTTAGCTCAGGAAGGATGGCTCCAGAGCAAACTAATTTATGCAGTAGCCAAATAGCTCGCTCACAACTTTAATACTAGTAGCTCACAAAGTGGAACTTTTGCTCACAAGACTCTACAGCGTAGAGGGAGCGTTGGCAGTGACCGGCTTCTTCTGGAATACTGGACCTTCAGTGAAAGTGTTACACAGCCTTAGGGCCATGTTAAAGACTGTACGAGCATTTCCACTTTCCTCATTTACATTTGGTAGTGAAGCTGCGGTGGCTCAAGTGGTTAAGACGCTGAACTGCAGGCTGCGGAAGGTCAGTAGTTTAGCAGTTCGAGACCTGAGTGCTGCATGACGGAGTGAGCTCCCGTCTCTAGTTCCAGCTCCTGCCAACCTAGCAGTTCGAAAGCAAGAAATTGCAAGTAGATAAATAGGTACCACTTCGGTGGGAAGGTAACAGCGTTCCGTGCGCCTTGGTGTTTAGTCATGCCGGCCACATGACCATGGAAATGTCTTTGGACAGCGCTGGCTCTTTGGTTTTGAAACGGAGATGAGCACCGCAACCCTAGAGTCGGATTCGGCTGGCTTTCGAGCAAGGGAAACCTTTACCTTTACTAGTGAAACTGTTACACAGCCTTAGGGCGATATTAGACTGTATGAGTGTTTCCAGTTTCCCAGTTTACTTTTGGTTTAGTGTCCCTTGAGGTTCCTTATCTTTTGTATATGTTGGCAAGATTTTCTGTATGCTGTACGGTTCTCTTGTTTATGCATTACTGAGAGTGACAAAACAGACACAGATACAATTGTTTGGTCTTTGTTTAGGCTGTGTACAGGACGTTTGTTATTTGCCGGTCGTTTCACTGTATATCTCATTTTTTAGGGGGGATTGAGAAAGGCAAGAATGGGGGGGGGGTGATCTACCTGATGGCATCTTGCCTACGGCCTGAAAACTGGGATCAAGAACCTGAAAAGGTAAGTCAAACTGAGTAGAGGGCCAACAATTAAAACTTAATGTGTCAATAATATGTAAAAATACATGTATCTATTTGTAAAGGATTTTAAAACATATAGGGTCCCAATCACACCTCATGTAAAAATTCCGAAATCATATCTACACAAGGGCCAGTGGACTTGACCTGACGCGATGAAGAACAAATTGGCTTATAGCACAATACATAATACAATACAATTATACAGCATAATGGACCAGAAAGGAATTGTTCCAGAGTGGAATTACTTGGCATAGAACGGAAGTATAAATGAGGCCTCCCAAGATCCAGTCATATGCCAAATGATATTTCACTGATATTAATTTCTGGTCCAGAAGATGCCTTTCAATAGATGTTCAATCCAAGCCAAAGTGTCCTCAACAAGATTGCTAAAGGGACAATTTGTTCCTCATCACGTTTGAGCTCTGAAGAAGGCCCTAACAGGCCAAAATGTGTCAGGTCAAGTCCATTTGCCCTTGTGTATATATGATTTCGGAATTTTTACATGAAGAAGAAGAAGAAGAGAAGAGATTGTATTTATACCCCGCCCTTCACTACCCAAAGGTGTCTCAGAGCGGCTTACAAACTCCTTTCCCTTCCCCTCCCCACAACAGACACCCTGTGAGGTAGGCGGGGCTGAGAGAGCTCTGACAGAAACTGCTCTTTTTTCAAGGACAGCTCTTATCAGAACTATGACTTGCCCAAGGTCATCCAGCCAGGTGCAAGTGGAGGAGTGGGGAATCAAACCCGGTTCTCCCAGGTTAGAGGGCTCTTTTTGTAGCAGGTACTCATTTGCATATTAAGCGACACACCCCTAATGTAGCCATTCCTCCAAGAGCTTACAGTAGCTCCTGTAAGAAGAGCTCTGTAAGCTCTTGGAGGATTGGCTACATTAGGGGTGTGTGGCCTAATATGCAAATGAGTACCTGCTACAGAAAGAGCCCTGAATTCAAACTGGACATATTCTCCCTCTTTTCCTGGTGTTCAAAAGCTAGGGTAAAAGGGCCCCTATATGTTTTTTTTAATCCTTTACAAATAAATGCATGTATTTTTACATATAATTTAGACATTAAGTTTTAATTGCTGGCCCTCTACTCAGTTTGACTTACCTTTTTCGGTTCTTGATCCTAGTTTTCAAGGTTAAGTTTGTTTCCTTTCTGTGTTCCAAATCTTGCCTAGGGCTCCCAAGTAGTTAGAGCTTCACCCACACAGTGAATGGTAAGCAGTATGGTTCTCGCTAACTGACCAGATCCGGTAGAAACAGGGGTCAACCCTGCTTCAGGTCAATTTGCCAGGTTCAATGCTCCCTCTAAGCTGCGGAGTCTTGTGAGCAAAAATTCTACATTGTGAGCCGCTGGCATTAAAGTTGTGAGCCAGCGATTTGGCGGCTGCATCAATTAGTTTGCTCTGGAGCCCTCCTTCCTAAGCTGAGACAAAAATATGTGAGCCGGAGGCTAAAAAAACTGTGAGCTAGCTCACACTAAACTCAGCTCAGAGGGAACCCTGGACTTTCTCATGCAGCCTCCATTCATTTCTTGCAACCTATTTTTCAGGAGAACGTACTTCTTTCCACCCTTCTAGATTTGGTTATAGCCTGAATAGGGGAGCTAGAGTCGTGGGTCCGCTGATTGGCAGCAGTGGGGAAATTATGATAGGCTGCTCCTTGCTTTGGAGGTTTAACAAATCCGTGTGGGTTGTGTCTGCCCCCCCCCCCCCCCCCCGCAGCTTCCTACGAGTCTTAAACCGCTCCCTGCCTCTCTTCATGACGCTAGCTTGGATCTACTCCGTAGCCATGATCATCAAAGGGGTGGTCCACGAGAAGGAAGCCCGCCTCAAAGAGACCATGAAGATCATGGGGCTGAAGAGCGCCACCCTCTGGCTCAGCTGGTTCCTCAGTAGCTTCATCCCTTTCCTCATCAGCGCCTTGTTGCTCGTCCTGATTCTCAAGGTGGGTCGCCTTGACCTGTAAGGGGACGCGTCGCCAGTCTGGTTATCTGCGTTGGGTGGATCCCTCTGATGTCATAATTAAAACGGAAACAAAACAACATTTGTTAACGACAGATACTGACAGTGACGCCTGTGTGGGCGTGCATTCAGCCAGCACTCTGCCAATTGCACTGGCTACCAACTGAGTACCGGATCCGCTTCAAGGTGATGGTTTTAGCCAGGGCTCTTTTTGTAGAAAAAGCCCAGCAGGAACTCATTAGCATATTGGGCCACATCCCTCACAGCACAGCTCATTAGCACATTAGGCCGCACCCACATGTTACCAGAAGTGTGGTTATCCAGACACACTCACCTTTTGCTTGTTATTCTGTTTACCTTGTTTGTTGTCAAAACCCAGGGCTTTTTTTTGTAGCAGGAACTCCTTTGCATGTTAGGCCACACACCCCTAATGTAGCCAATCCTAACGAGTTCCTGCTGTTGGGTGTGGCCTATTATGCTAATGAGTTCCTGCTGGGCGTGGCCAACTTGGGAGCCAGTCGGAACTCCGTTCCTGTGCGTTCCTGCCCAAAAATAGCCCTGGTTTTAGCCAGGGCTCTTTTTGTAGCAGGAACTCCTTTGCATATTAGGCGACACACCCCTAATGTAGCCAATTCTCCAAGAGCTTACAGAGCTCTTCTTACAGGGGCTGCCGTAAGCTCTTGGAGGATTGGCTACGTTAGGGGTGTGTCGCCTAATACGCAAAGGGGTTCCTGCTACAAAAAGAGTCCTGGTTTTAACCTTTAAAGCCTTAAGTGGCCTGGGACCGACATATCTAAGGGACCGCCTCTCCCCATATACCCCCTGGAGAGCCTTGCGCTCCACTGAGCGACATCTGCTGGTTATCTCTGGCCCAAAGGACGTCCATCTAGCCTCGCCAAGGGCCAGAGCTTTCTCAGTCCTGGCCTCCATCTGGTGGAACAAGCTCTCACTTGAGATCAGGGCCCTTCCGGACTTATTACAATTCTGCGGGGCCTGCAAAATGGAGCTGTTCCGCTAGGCCTTCGGCTGAAGGAATGGACATCCAATCACATGGCCTCTCCTGCAAAGCGGTCCTACTGAAATTGCCTATGATTACCACCCACCCAGGAGCTGCGGTGGCTCAAGGGGTTAAGACGCTGAACTGCAGGCTGTGGAAGGTCAGTAGTTCAGCAGTTCGAGATCCGAGTTGCCGCATGACGGAGTGAGCTCCCGTCTCTAGTTCCAGCTCCTGCCGACCTAGCAGTTTGAAAGCAAGAAATTGCAAGTAGATAAATAGGTACCACTTCGGTGGGAAGGTAACAGCGTTCCGTGCCCCTTGGTGTTTAGTCATGCTGGCCACATGACCACGGAAACGTCTTCGGACAGCGCTGGCTCTTCGGCTTTGAAACAGAGATGAGCACCGCAACCCTAGAGTCGGATTCGACTGGCTTTCGAGCAAGGGAACCTTTACCTTTACCTTTACCTGTTGGAGCTAGTATAGAAAGCCATGTCACCATTTTTTAGTTAAATTTTAATCTGATTTTAAATTTTAATCTGACGATTGATCATATTGATTGTATTGTACATGAAAATTTGATGTTACCCACCCTGAGCCCCCGTGTGGGAAGGGCGGGATACAAATGGATAAATAAAAAAATAAAGGTAAAGGTAAAGGTTTCCGTTGCTCGAAAGCCAGTCGAGTCCGACTCTAGGGCTGCGGTGCTCATCTCCGTTTCCAAGCCGAAGAGCCAGCGCTGTCCGAAGACGTTTCCGTGGTCATGTGGCCATTTGGCCAGGATTTCCCAAAATCTCTGTGATTTTTACCATAGATATCTGGGAATGCCTAGAGTCCCATGAGAGAAAGGCAGGTATTGAGGTCATTTCCGGGTAAAACCAGAAGTGACGTCATGACGTTTGAGAGAAAGTGAAGTATATAAATATTTTAAATAAATAAATGCAGGAACAGTGACAAAGCAAGATGCAAGCGTGTGAGTTCTCTAGAACTTAAAAGGGTGGGGGGAGGAAGAGGAGAAAGAGAGGAGCGATTCTGATCATGGTTGGTGACACCTCCCAGCAATGCTCCCTCTAAGCTGTGGAGTCTTGCGAGCAAAAATTCTACTTTGTGAGCCACTGGCATTAAAGTTGTGAGCGAGGGATTTGGCGGCTGCATCAATTAGTTTGCTCTGGAGCCCTCCTTCCTGAGCTAAGACAAAAAAAGTGTGAGCTGGGGGCTAAAAACATTGTGAGCTGGCTCGCACTAACTCAGCTTAGGGGGAACACTGCCTCCCACCCGCTCCTCGTATTGAAAGGGAGACCAGGGTGTGCTGTAGATCCGATGTCACACAAGGGTACTGGGTGCAAAATGGGTGCTTCTGATTATCTGCCTGGGATTGCAACCTGCACATATATCAATGCCTAACATGCTCTCCCGTTTTCTCTCCAGCAAGGAGACATCCTGCCCTACAGTGACCCCGCCGTGGTCTTCCTCTTCCTAGCCACTTTTGCGGTGGCCACCATCTCCCAGTGTTTCCTCATCAGCACATTCTTCTCCCGTGCCAACCTCGCCTCAGCCTGTGGCGGCATCATCTACTTCTCCTTCTACCTGCCTTACGTGTTGTGCGTGGCTTGGCGCGACCACATTACCTTCCCTCTGCGGCTCTTGGTGGTGAGACGGTCCCCCCCCCGGTTCCCGCTATCGGGCAGTTTTCCTCACCTCCCTGCCCAAATTCCCCTTCAGCTCAAATACCTGCCCCTGGAAATCCAACTTCTGTACCAAGTGGGTGCCAACTTATTTCAACTTGCATGAATGGGTCAAATAGACCATATTCTGTGCAATCTTTTTTCAGTGTGTGCATTTTGCTGGCCATGCGGAGGGGTGAGGAGCTACCCCAGGCATGAACCCCTGCCAAAAAAAAAGCACATTAGGGAAACTTAAGTTAGGATCTGTTCAATAATCTTTCCTAATGTGCGTGTTTCCCTGGGCACGCGGAAAAGTGAGAACTTATCCTAAGCGTTGAAACGCTGCCTCCAACTGCTGGCAATCTCATGAAATTTCGGCGGCCTCAAGCGGGCATTGTTCGCATGCTTTCAAACCTGTCTTCGTACCACGAGGGCTAGGAACTTTGCGTTTTCAAAATTAAAACTCCTGTTCTCAGGAAGCTGGATCCTGCGAACCTGTGCCTCTGCAGAACTGCAATGTACGTTCAGAGTTCAGGGTTGTTGTTTTTTAATCTCCATTTGGGTAGAGAAACGATTGTCCCAGCCAGTAGAATGCCTTGTCTAATAGTCTGTTCCCATAGCTCAGGGGTGTCAAACATATGGCCCGGGGGCCAGCTCAGGCCCCCGGGGGGCTTCTATCAGGCCCGCAGTGGAACTGGCTGTCTTCTGCTGCTTCTTCCAGTTCTGCTGCTGCTGCGTCATCGTAGATTTGCAGCTTACAGCTACACACCTGAAGAGCATACTCAAGATGGCAACAGCACAGACCTTTTGACAATAATTCAGAGCAAGGGGTGTCAGTTATTAGACACTGTTAAATGAACAGAATATTGCAGAGAGTGCTAATGTTTTAAGCGTGCTTTTATTGTAAGTTAAAAAAAAACCCTTTGTGTTTGTGTCCTTTATAAAGCTTATATCTCCGCTAGCTGGCATTACATTTTATGGCACACGTGGCCCGGCCAAACAAGGTCTCATTTATGTCAGATCCGGCCCTCGTAACAAATATGTTTGACACCACCACCGTAGCTGGATCATTCCCTAGTGCCTGTTACAGCAAAAGTGATACGTACCTACCCTTTGGACAGCACTGTCAGTGTTTCAGTGTGCTGTAAATGCATGATCTTGTTGCAGTACTTCCAGCAACCCTGACAGGTAGGCCGCTAACCCCATAATTGCAGTGGAGGGGACTGAAATTGAGACCATCTAGGCAGAGGTGTCAAACTCATTTCTTACGAGGGCCGGATCTGACATAAATGTCGCTTTGCCAGGCTGGGCCACGTGTGCCGGGAAATGTAACGGCAGGCACATATAAACTTTATAAAGGACACAGGCAAACCCGATTAAGCCGCCGATTCCTTGCAGTGAAAGCAGTTGATTTACTGGGGATATCCACAAAAGCCTGGCTCCCCCCAGATCCCCCCACCTCCAGTTCTCATCCCTCCTGTGTCTCCCACAGAAGCGGTGGGGCTGAGGGAAGGCCTGTTTCCAAAATCTCCAGGGGGCACTTTTTGCCCTCCCGGGACCTCCAGTTTGTTGCAGTGGTTAAGTGCATGGACTCTGATCTGGGAGAACCAGGTTTGATTCCCCACTCGTCCACTTGCACCTGCTGGATGACCTTGGGCAAGCCGTAGTTCTGATAAGAGCTGTTCTTGAAAAAGAGCAGTTTCTGTCAAGAGCTCTTTCAGCCCCACCTACCTCCCAGGGTGTCTGTTGTGGGGAGGGGAAGGGAGAGGAGTTTGTAAGCCGCTCTGAGACACCTTTGGGTAGTGAAGGGCAGGATATAAATCCAATCTCTTCTTCTTCTTCTTTTTCCCCCACGGGCTGAGAACAGCACCAGTTGCTCATGGGCCAGATTATAGAGCCTTAGATGGGCCGGTTCTGGCCCCTAGACCGTATGTTTTACATCCCTGAGTGAGCTTTGGGCAACAATGGGATGTGAACGGGGGGGGGGGGGCTCCCAAATCCTAGTTTGTCTGACTAGCTGACGCCCTACACGCCTCCTGTGTGCCGTCTCCAACCTCTGCCGCTTTCCTTTCTCCCCGCCTGCCTGCCAGAGCCTCATGTCCCCCGTGGCGTTCGGCTTCGGCTGCGAGTACTTCTCCCTCTACGAGGAGCAAGGGATGGGTGTTCAGTGGCACAACCTCAATTCCAGCCCCGTGGAAGGAGACCGGTACACGTTCGCCACGTCTGTGGGGCTGCTTCTCTTCGATGCGCTGCTCTATGGCCTGGCCACGTGGTACATAGAAGGCGTGTTTCCAGGTAAACAAACCGCAATTCTCTGGGGTTGACATCTGTTTGCATATTGTTTCCGTTTATACCGTAGGTCCCTGAAACCACGAAAGATTAGTTCTGTGGCCGAATCCTGTGGCTTTCGTGCTCTTTAGGTGGCCCCAGTCTTCGCTTCTGGTGGGAATTCGAAATTTCGGTAGCCCACTCACCGTTCCCCTTCCATTTTCTGTCGTGCCACCTTGGCAGATTCATGATATTAATCAGTTAACAATGACATCGGACTGAACGACTGTCGAAGGGTGGGGAGAAAAGGTGTTCTGGATTTTTAGGGGATACAGGTATGTGGGGGTCCCAAGCCGTGTTTTGGGTGCTTGCCCTCGGGAGAGTGGTTCTCCCAAGATGAGGGCTGCTCTCTGTGGGTTTTGTATTCAAAAGGATTTGGAGTCAGGAAGCAATTTTTCTCCAGGCCAGTTTGCCCAGGAATCCTGGAGGGTTTTTTTTTTTGGGGGGGGGGTCATCTTCTGGGCGTGGAACAGGGGTCACTGGGGGTGTGTGGGAGGGAAGGTATTCGTGAATTTCCCGCATTGGGCAGGGGGGGTTGGACTAGATGACCCCGGAGGTCCCTTCCAACTCTGTGATTCTGTGAACAACGGTGTCCCCGCTGTCCTGTTGAGCCACGTTTTTGAACCCTGCCTCCAACTTCAGAGGAAGGAAGGAAGGGAGGGAGGGAGGGCTGCTGAAGTTGGGGGAAGGCTTCGTATCTAGCCGAGCAGAGCGGTTGGGTGCTTGCCTTTTTGTTCAGACTGATCCGTGGGGATTTAATCGGTGAACAGATGAATTGACTCTCAGCCATGGTTTTTCTGTTTCCAGGCCAATATGGGATCCCAAAGCCTTGGAATTTCCCCTTCCAGAAGAGTTACTGGCTTGGGGGGTCCTCCAGCGATGGCTCCCCTCACCCCGTTCCTACAAACTCTCTTAACTCTGCAGAAGGTAGGCCTGCATTCTGTTCAGTGACCCTTGGATTGGCCAGTTGCCTGGGTTTTGTGCACAGTGTGTAAAACAGGGTTCCCGTTTCTAAAGACTGGCCCTCCTGGAGCATGCACTGGCAGTTTTCCTCAGCCACTCTTTGTGTTTCTTGTGGAGAACACGCTGCACAAAGTAGATTGGGGGAACCTTCTAGCATCCTTTCTATGGTTCAGGAGGAACAGGAGCCTGTCTGTCGAATGCCTCCTTGTTGTTACGGGCACACGGAAAAGCCGTCTGTCGCAGGGAGGGGTGTGAGGCACCTTGGTGTGCAGAAGGAGTGGGTTTTTTTCCCCATCCGCTGCCCAGTGTGCTCTGCGCACCCCTGTCCCCAAGAGGCCACTCCGAGTGGGGCCAGGCCCTCCAAGTGGGGCTCCCATTTGCCCGCTTAGGGTGGGAGACCTCCAGACGACTGCAGCTGTTGCCCACAGATGCTCAGCTGATTGGTAGGCAGAAACTGGGGTCAAGGGCGGGGGGGACCAATTGCCTTAGGGAAAAACTTTTTAAAAAATTAAGGCCTTGTGTACTTGGTAAAGGTAAAGGTCTCCCTTGCTCGAAAGCCAGTCGAATCCGACTCTAGGGTTGCGGTGCTCATCTCCGTTTCAAAGCCGAAGAGCCAGCGCTGTCCGAAGACGTTTCCGTGGTCATGTGGCCGGCATGACTAAATGCCAAGGCGCACGGAACGCTGTTACCTTCCCACCGAAGTGGTACCTATTTATCTACTTGCAATTTCTTGCTTTCAAACTGCTAGGTTGGCAAGAGCTGGAACTATAGACGGGTGCTCACTCCGTCACGCTGCACCCGGGTCTTGAACTGCTGAACTACTGACCTTCCACAGCCTGCAGTTCAGCGTCTTAACCACTTGAGCCACCGCAGCTTACTTACTTACTTACAGCAGGGCTATTTTTGGGCAGGAACGCACAGGAATGGAGTTCCGGCTGGCTTCAGAGTTCGCCACGCCCACTACACCCAAAACCTCTGCGCGTGTGTGGCTATAGAGGGAAGACCTGGAGAGTGACGCCCCCCCCCCCGGGCGACTCCAAGGTGGGCAGGCCAGGGGACCCCCTGGAAGGATCGGGGAGACATTTAAATGCCTCCCCGTGCCTTCCCTGGCCTGTCCAATGGCCGGCTTTCCCGGGCTCCCTGCAGCCGCAGGGTGACCAGGCAAGCCAAGGGAAGGCAGTTTAAACTGCCTTCTGTTAGCCAAATTGCCTCGATTTCTTATCATTATGGGGGAAGTTATGATTATTAACAGGCAATAGGCAAATTAGGGGGCAACCACCGTTGTGTACAGAGGTCCCACTTTTCTTAGTAGTTACCAGTAAGAGGCACGGAGACTGTATTGAGTATAAAATAATGTCTTCTACTGAAGGAAACTTGTCATTCAAACATGTTCCCTATTGAGACCAGGGCCCTGCGGGATCTCCTTCAATTCCACGGGGCCTGCAAGATGGAGCTGTTCCGCCAGGCCTTTGGTTGAGGCAGCGGGCACCCGTCTATGGCCTCCCTGAGGTTTCTGTCCCCCATCTGTCACCTGTCTACTGATCACCGTCAACTGGCCTCTAACTCATCGTACCATCAGGCCAGGAGCTGCGCTGGCTCAAGTGGTTAAGACGCTGAACTGCAGGCTATGGAAGGTCGGTAGTTCAGCAGTTCGAGACCCAGGTGTGCCGCATGACGGAGTGAGCTCCCATCTCTAGTTCCAGCTCCTGCCAACCTAGCCGTTCGAAAGCAAGAAATTGCAAGTAGGTAAATAGGTACCACTTCGGTGGGAAGGTAACAGCGTTCCATGAGCCTTGGTGTTTAGTCATGCCGGCCACATGACCACGGAAACGTCTTCGGACAGCGCTGGCTCTTCGGCTTTGAAACGGAGATGAGCACCGCAACCCTAGAGTTGGACTCGACTGGCTTTCGAGCAAGGGAACCTTTACCTTTGCTACCATCAGGCCAGAATTTCTATAGCCAACTTATGCTCTTCCAAGCGATACCCATTGTTTGAATTGTTATGTCTAATTGTGTTCTAATGTTTAAGAACATAAGAACATAAGAGACGCCAATGTTGGATCAGGCCAAAGGCCCTTCCAGTCCAACACTCTGTGTCACACAGTGGCCAGAAATACCAGGTGCCATCAGGAGGTCCACCAGTGGGGCCAGGACATTAGAAGCCCCACTGTTTAATGTTCTAAACTGAAATTGTATTTATTACAATGATGTGACCCACCCTGAGCCCACCCATGGGCGGGGATATAAATGCAAGTAATAAATAAATAAATAAGCGTCAAAGCCCCCGTTTTCCAATCGTGTATCTCTCCAGACGGAACAGTTTCATTGCTCCGTCTGTTTTGAGTGTCGGTTGTTCTGTTGCACTGCCTCGGCAATGATGGGCACCGGCTTGTGCGGTGTACCCCTTCGCGCTCACCTCTGGGAGCGACTCATCTGGGCTCTTCCTCCTCCCGCCCAGCGTTGGTGGAGGAGCCTCTTGCCCACTTACAGGTGGGCGTCTCGATCCGCAACCTGGTGAAGATCTACCACAGCAGCCGGAAGATCGCCGTCAGCGGGCTGAGCCTGGACTTCTACGAGGGCCAGATCACTTCCTTCCTGGGGCACAATGGTGCCGGAAAGACCACCACCATGTAAGCTGGGTCTTGGATGGTCGGGGCAAGCCCTGGTTATGAAGGTCTTACCTTCTTGCTTGCTGGATACAGATGGCATCCTGGAAGGATGGGTCTATTGTCTGCAATAGTTAAATGGAACCTCCATGTGTAGGGGAAGTCTACCCCAGCATAGGGGACCAACAGCAGAGAAGGGCAGTTGCCTTCATAAGGACATGAGAGAAGCCAAATGTTGGATCGGGCCAGTGGCCCATCCAGTCCAACACTCTGTCACACAGTGGCCAAAAATATCAGGTGCCGTCAGGAGGTCCACCAGTGGGGCCAGGACTCCAGAAGCCCTCCCACTGTTACCCCCCAAGCACCAGGAATACACAGCATCACTGCCTCAGACAGAGTGTTCCCTCTATACCTTGTGGCTAATAGCCCCTGATGGACCTCTGCTCCATCTGTTGATCCAATTCCCTCTTTGAAACTGTCCATGCTTAAAGCCGCCGCCACTTCCTGTGGCAGCGAATTCCGTGTGAAGAAGTACTTCCTTTTATACAGGGGTCATTTAGTAGAAAAAGAGGTGCAGGAGCTCATTAGCATAACTCATTAGGATAACTTATTTGCATATGCCACACCCCCTGACATCACAGGAAGTGTGTCAGAAGGCAACACCCACTGCAGCTTACCTGGCTGCTTCTTGTTCCTCATGGCCCAGGGCTGTTGGGAGCAGGGGGCGGGGGTTGTTGCATGTGCCCGCCCCCTGGGCTCTTTACTGCCAGAGCTGTGCTCCTGTGCGCTCCTGCAGGAAATGACCCCTGCTTTTATCTGTTCTTCACAACCTGCTGCTGGACTTGGCTGGAAACGTCTGGCTGGCCAGTCTGGTTAGTGGAATGCCAGGCTGGGCAGATGTTTGGTCTGATCGGGCACAGCTGTGTGTCAATTATTGTGGGGAGGGGACGCAGCTGAGTGCATAGGACTTGAACCCTGGCACGTCAGCTCATGCAGGCTTTTGGAGCAACCTTGGCTTGGTTTTGCATCTTTCAGTCCTGAGAGGCAACAGTTGTGTGTCCCCGTCCCCCCCGCTGCCCCAGGCTTATTCAAAAGCATGCTGGGGCAACTGTGCTCTTGAAGAAGAGAAGAGATTGGATTTATACCCCGCCCTTCACTACCCAAAGTTGTCTCAGAGCGGCTTACAAACTCCTTTCCCTTCCCCTCCCCACAACAGACACCCTGTGAGGTAGGTGGGGCTGAGAGAGCTCTGACAGAGACTGCTCTTTTTCAAGAACAGCTCTGACAGAACATAAGAACATAAGAGATGCCAATGTTGGATCAGGCCAAAGGCCCATCCAGTCCAACACTCTGTGTCACACAGTGGCCAGAAATACCAGTGCCATCAGGAGGTCCACCAGTGGGGCCAGGACATTAGAAGCCCTCCCACTGATGACCCCCCCAAGCACCAAGAAGACAGAGCATCACTTGCCCCGGAGTCCCTATCTATACCTTGTGGCTAATAGCCACTGATGGACCTCTGCTCCATATGCTTATCTAATTCCCTTTTGAAGCCGTCAATGCTTGTAGCCGCCACCACTTCCTGTGGCAGTGAATTCCAAGTGTTAATCACCCTTTGGGTGAAGAAGTACTTCCTTTTATCCGTTCTAACCCGACCGCTCAGCAATTTCATGGAGTGCCCACGAGAACTATGGCTTGCCCAAGGTCACCCAGCAGGTGCAAGTGGAGGAGTGGGGAATCCAACCCGGTTCTCCCAGATTAGAGTCCGCACACTTCACCACTACACCAAACTGGCTCTTACTTCCCAACCTTCCAGCTAAACAATTTCCTGGGAAGAACCCCTCTTTGCCTAAGATCCTGGAGATCCGCAGACCACACAGAGCTTGGGGGACCAATTATTCGTAAGACAGCTTCGTATATCTGTAACGCTCTGATCCTTAAAAGGGCCAGGGTTGTTGTCACAGAGTTGTGGACCCCCCCATATTTAAAACCAGAACAGCACTTAAACAGCTTTTATTTAAATGCAGGCAAAGACAACGGATGTAGAAATGGGAGTTTTGAACAAAACAAAGTGCATCATAAAATATACTGAGCAGTCCCAAAGTTAGTGAAAAGAGAAACTCTCTTGAGTCTCTGGGCTCTGAGTGAAATCGTCGATCTGTCTTGAGGGCCAGTTCAGTGTAGTGGTTAGGATCACGGACTCTAGTCTGGGAGAACCAGGTTTGATTGCCCACTCCTCCACATGCAGCTGCTGGTGTGACCTTGGGTCACTTACAAGTTCTCTCAGAGCTGTTCTCTCACAGGCTGTTCTCTCAGAGAAGAAGAAGAAGAGATTGGATTTATACCCCGCCCTTCACTCAGAGTCTCAGAGTGTCTTACAATCCCTTCCCCTTCCCCTGCCCACAAAAGGACACCCTGTGAGGTAGGTGGGGCTGAGAGAGCTCTGAGAGAACTGCCCTTGAGAGAACAGCTCTGAGAGAACTTGTGACTGACCCAAGGTCACACCAGCAGCCTCATGTGGAGAAGTGGGATATCAAACCCCGTTCTCCCAGATTAGAGTCTGTTTGTCAGAGCTGCAACCACTACACCAAACTAGGTCTCAGCCCCACCGACCCCACAGGGTATCTGTTGTGGTGTGGAGAAGGGAAGGAGACTGTAAGCCGCTCTGAGACTCTTGAGTGAAGGGCGGGGTATAAATCCAATCTCTTCTTCTTCTTCTCTTCTTGTTTTGCCTTCTGGGTGTACCGAGCACTTTGGATGGCCCAGAATGTTTTGCTCTCCGTGGTGTTTTGGAACTGGTCTCTTACCCCACCCCTTCTCTGTGGACTTTGCACTGCATTGCAGCTGGGAAGGACTCGATTTGGGGTGATTTCCCTTCTCTTCTGCCCCTCCCAGGTCCATCCTGACCGGCCTGCTGCCCCCCAGTTCCGGCACCGCCTACATCCTGGGGAGGGACATCTGCTCGGAAATGGACGTCATCCGGAAGACGATGGGGATGTGCCCTCAGCACAACGTCCTCTTCGACATGTAAGGGCTTCCGGGTCAGTCCCTGAAATGGAAGGGGTGGTAGAAAGGGATGGGCCGGGGAAAAGTACAGAGGACGGGCAACCAAGATGACTAGGGAGTTGGAGCACCTTCCCGATGAGGAAAGGCTGAAGAGCCTGGGACTTTTCATGTTAGAAAAGAGACGACTACGAGGGGGAGACGATAGAGGTTTATACAACTAAGGAGAGAGTTGACACTTCTTTCTTCCTCTCCCCAAATACTAGAAGTTGATGGTCAGTAGGTTCAGGACAGACAAAAGGGAATACTGCTTTACACAGAGGGTGATCAAAATGTAGAATTTGCCGCCTGAGGATGTAGTGATGGCCACAGGAATAAATAGCTTTCAAAAGGGAATTAGATTCATGGGGGATAAGTCTATCAGTGGCTGCTAGCCATGGTGGTTGAGGGGAACCTCCACATTCAGGGGCAGTCAACCTCTGAATCCCAGAGCCAGGAGGCAACATCAGGGGAAGGCCTCTTCCTCTATGTTCTGTTGTTGGCCCACCAGAGGAACTGGTTGGCCCCTGTGTGAGGCAGGATGCTGGACTAGATGGACCCTCATTGGTCCGATCCAGCAGGGCTCTTCTGATGTTCGTATGAAGGCCTCGGCCTCTATGCCCTGTTGTTGGCCCTCCAGAGGAACTGGTTGGCCCCAGTGTGAGACAGGATGCTGGACTAGATGGACCCTCATTGGTCCGATCCAGCAGGGCTCTTCTGATGTTCGTATGAAGGCCTCGGCCTCTATGCCCTGTTGTTGGCCCTCCAGAGGAACTGGTTGGCCCCAGTGTGAGACAGGATGCTGGACTAGATGGGACTGGAGGTCTGATCCAGCGGGGCTCTTCTTATGTTCTTATATGTTTATGTATGGATGTGTGTGGCAGTTCTGTGGTGGTGTAATTAGTGCTGATGGCATTTCTAGCTGTGACTGCTTCCTCCCAGGTGACATTTCTGTGGCCCAGCAGGGATGGTCGGCCTCACTTTTTCCTCTCTCAGCTTTTCCTCTGCAGTTATTGAGGACCAATGGTCCCTGTAAGCTGTGGAGTCTTGTGAGCAAAAATTCTACTTTGTGAGCTACTGGCATTCAAGTTGTGAGCGAGCGATTTGGCCACTGCATCAATTAGTTTGCTCTGGAGCCATCCTTCCTGAGCTAAGACAAAAATGTGTGCGCCGGAGGCTAAAAAAACTGTGAACTAGCTCACACTAACTCAGCTTAGAGGGGACGCTGCCGAGGACTAGTGTGGTATTGTGGCTGAGCTATGAACCAGAAAGCCCCCCCTGGTCTGAATTGCTTCTCTGCCACTGACTCACTAACCAGCCTTCCCGAGCAAGCTCTGTCCCCTCTACAATAGCACTGGCCTACCTTACAGGGTTGTTTGTCAGAGCTGCAATGTGATAACATAGGTGAAGTTTTTTTTTTCCAGAGGGGCTGCCGTGTTAGTCTGCAGTAGGAGAGCTAGATTTGCATTCAGGTTCACCTCAAGAGGCTGACGAGATTTTCAGGGCATACGCATTCGAGAACCAAAGGTCCCTTCAGGAGATACAGCTAGGTGAAGGTTGGCCTTTGTATGCCAGGGTTCCCCACCGTGGTCCCCATGGGCAGCATGGTGCCCGCCGACACCTTTTCTGGTGCCCACCAAGTGTTTTTAGGAAGTGGGTGGGGCCAAGTAGGGCTTTCGCCCAGCCAGGCTTCTGATTGGCTATTGGAGATTAGGTTGGCTGTGCAGATTTTTAAAAAATGTTGCTATGGCAGCAGCTGCCACCAAAGCACAAGGTTTCTGCACTGTGTGACTGAAGTGAAACTGTGGCCATCGCGTTGTGGTGGCCAGTTAGTTGCTCTGCCCCACTACGCCATGCCAGAATTTCAAACGTGGAAATCCAACAACAACATCCGTGACAAAAATAACGAAGAGTCAGTAAAGACATGTTGCAAAATTATTTACTGTAGCAATTCGGTAGAAAATTCTCTTCTGTTATTGCTCACATGCTAACGAATGCTGCGCAATGTAAACAGTTCGTTTCACAATATTTGCTTTATCTGAGCATGTTGCAATCACAACTCTTATCAATTACTGCTTATCAACTCTTGAAGGCAACCACTACACCAAACTTTATTGACTCTTCGTTATTTTTGTCATGGACGTTGTTGTTGGATTTCCACTCCCTCCCGTGATCTCTCATTTTTGGCTTCTGTAGAATTTCAAATGTGCCTGCAGGGTCAAAAAGGTTGGGGACTCCTGGTGTATGCAAATGCTGAGCGTTATATGTATTGGTGTTTATAAGAGGTGGGAGGTCAGGGAGGCTCACCTTGAGCTGAGGGCAGTGCACTTCGTGACACCTGGCTGTGGTCAGGTGGTTGATGGGACCATGTAGGTCCTGATTGGCCCCTTGTTTCACTTGACCCCTGCTGAGCTTGTAGCTGCAGTAACACACTTTGGCCATCTGCAGTGGTGGCACTCTGTGTTCCCTCTAAGCTGAGTTAGGGTGAGCTAGTTCACAGTTTTTCAGCCTCCGGCTCACACATTTTTGACTTAGCTCAGGAAGGAGGGCTCCAGAGCAAACTAATTGATACAGTAGTCAGATCGCTCGCTCACAGCTTTTAATGCTGGTAGCTCACAGAGTAGAATTTTAGAGGAAGCATTGTGCTACAGAAAGGAAGAAGGAGAGACTGGATTTATACCCCGCCCTTCACTACCCGAAGGAGTCTCAGAGCGGCTTACAAACTCCTTTCCCTTCCCCCTCCCCACAACAGACACCCTGTGAGGTAGGTGGGGCTGAGAGAGCCCTTTCGAGGACTGCTCTTGAGAGAACAGCTCTGAAAGAACTTGTGACTGACCCAAGGTCACACCAACAGTGGCACGTGGAGGCATGGGAAATCAAACCTGGTTCTCCCAGATTAGAGTACGTGCTCCTAACCACTACACCAAACTGGCAGCTGTTCCCTTTTGTGGAGAGCTGAATAGCGACGGACAGGGTGCGGTACCGGCTTGAGACCCTTAATGCCTGCTTCACACGTATGGCATCACAGTCTCTTTCTCTGTCCCTCCAGCTTTTGGGGAGTGTTTGACCCTATCCTGGGTTGGATCCTGATCTCCGCTCGGCAAGTTTTCACACACATGGGCTAAATATGTTGGCATGTGCTCTTATTCCCATCGGCTTTATCCCTTGATATTCTTACGGCCGTCTGCTGGACAAAGCTCATGTTCCCACCCGCCCTCTTCCACGCCAGGCTGTTGTTATGTTTTCTACAGCTGCATCTGTACACCTCTGCCCTTTGATTGGTAGCCAAACAGCCATGCCATCCTGTTATACCTGCAGGGATTTTTTTTTTAGATAGGTGCCTACCAGGGTGAATGAGGCTTTTCTGATTGGGGGAAGCTCCTCCCTGCAGTTAATTGAACGGCCTTGGAGAAGGCGGTGTTTCCAAATGAGCAAGAAGGTGGCCTCCTTTCCCCAGAGCATCCAGATTCATCTGACCACATCTGCTCCTTTCCCCCCAGCCTGACCGTGGAAGAACACATTTGGTTTTATGGACGTCTGAAGGGCCTCTCTGAACAGCAGGTCCAGGAGGAGACGGACCAGATAATACAGGACGTGGGGCTGCCCCACAAGCGACGGGAACAGACCAAGAACTTATCAGGTGAGCCTGGTGACAAGGGTCGGCAGGCATATGCAAGTGCCTTCCAGCTGCGACCGACTTAGGGTGACCCCAGCAAAGGGGCTTTCAAGGCAAGTGCGAAGCAGAGGTGCTTTGCCATCGCCTTCTCCTGCAGAGCCTTCTTTGGCGGTCTTCCATCTGAGTACCAGCAGGGCTGACCTGCTTAGCCTCTGAGATCTGATGAGACCGGGCTAGCCTGGTGTAAGATAGATTCAGGTGGGGAGCCATGTTGGTCTGAAGCAGGGCTCTTTTTGTAGAAAAAGCCCAGCAGGAACTCATTAGCATAATAGGCCACACCCAACAGCAGAAACTCATTAGCATATTGGGCCACACCCCTGACAGCACAGCTCATTAGCACATTAGGCCGCACCCCCATGTTACCAGAAGTGTGGTTATCTAGCCACACCCACCTTTTGCTTCTTATTCTGTTTACCTTGTTTGTTGTCAAAACCCAGGGCCTTTTTTTGTAGCAGGAACTCCTTTGCATGTTAGGCCACACACCCCTAATGTAGCCAATCCTAATGAGTTCCTGCTGTTGGGTGTGGCCTATTATGCTAATGAGTTCCTGCTGGGCGTGGCCAACTTGGGAGCCAGCCGGAACTCCGTTCCTGTGCGTTCCTGCCCCAAAATAGCCCTGGTCTGAAGCAACAGAATGAAGTTTGAGTCCAGTGGCACCTTGAAAACCAACAAAGTTTTAATTCTGGGTATAAGCTTTCGTGTGCACGCACACTTCTTCAGATATGTTGAAAATGACTTTGCCAGCCATTACATATAGATAGAGAGAGGGTGGGGAATGGGGAAGTTAGTTGCCAGGAAGGGTTACTTAGAGTCAAGACGCATCAGTAACTGAGCAATTATAGCTAAGATTGGATCAAAGCAGTTGGTAAGACGTGTGAATAGCAGCAAATTTAGCATGCAGATAATAAAAGAGTTAAACAGATGCGAGAACTGAGTGACTTAGCATGTGTAGTGAGGTAAGAACCCAATATCTCTGTTAAGCCCTGGGGGTTCAATAGTATCACTTTTGTATATATGTGCTTTTTTCTCTGGAAAGGTGGGATGCAACGGAAGCTCTCAGTAGCCATTGCCTTTGTAGGTGGCTCCAAGGTGGTGATACTGGACGAGCCCACAGCCGGTGTTGACCCGTACTCTCGCCGAGGGATCTGGGAACTGCTGTTGAAGTATCGTGCAGGTCAGAGCTTGCTGGCATCGGGGCCAGATAATGTGTGTGTGGGGGGGTATGTGTGAAGAAAGTAGATAAAGAGAAGCTTTCCTCCCTGTCCCATCAGATCCATGGGCAGCCAGCACAGTTCAAAACAGGACAGGTGAAAGCAGTTTTTCCTATGCAAAGCATCATTAACTTGTGGAACTCACTGCCCCAGGATGACCACTATTTCAGATTGCTTTAAAAGGGGATTAGACAATGTTGAGGAGGACAGATCTGTTACTGGATGGCTAAATGCAGCCTCCATGTTCAGAGGCAGTCTACCTTTGAAAGCCAGCTGCTGGGGCAATAGTGGGAAGGGTGGAGGTTTTGACACCTCTGTGCCTTGCTTGTGGAACGTCAGGGGAACTGTGTCAACCACTATGGGAAACAGGATGCTGGGCTGGATGGACCACGGGGCTGATCCAGCAGGGCTCGTTTTATATCTTCCGGGAGTCCAGGAGCACCTTAAAAGCTAACAAAATTTGTGACAGTGTATGAGCTTTCGTGAGTCACGGCTCACTTCTGAAGAAGTGAGCAATGACTCACGAAACGTTGTGCCCTGCCACATATTTTGTTAGTCTTTCAGGTGCTCCTGGACTCTTGCTCTTTTCTCCTGCTACAGACAGACTAACATGACTACCCATCTTGATCTGTCTGAAGAAGTAAGCAGTGACTCACAAGCAGTGTTCCCTCTATGCTGAGTTAGTGTGAGCTAGCTCACCATTTTTTAGCCTCCAGCTCACACGTTTTTGTCTCAGCTCAGGAAGGATGGCTCCAGAGCCAAGTAATTGATGTAGTAACCAAATAGCTCGCTCACAACTTTAATACCAGTAGCTCACAAAGTAGAATTTTTGCTCACAAGACTCCACGGCTTAGAGGGAACATTGCAAGAGCTCATATTCTGCCACAAATATCGTTAGTCTTTCAGGTGCTCCTGGAATCTTGCTCTTTTCTCCTGCTACAGGCAAACATGCCCACCCATCTTGATCTGTCTGTGAGCAGTGACTAACAAAGCTAACAAAATTTGTGGCGGGGAGGAGCTTTCTGAAGAAGTGAGCCGTGACTCACAAAAGCTCGTACTCCTGACACAAATGTAGTTAGTCTTTAAGGTGCTCCTCGACTCTTGTTCTTTTCTCCTGCTGCAGACAGACAAACGTGGCCACCCATCTCGATCTATCTGAAGAAGTGAGCCGTGACTCACGCAAGCTCCTCCCCTGCCACAAACTTTGTTAGCTTTTAAGGTGCTCCTGGTGTTTTAGCCTCCGGCTCACACATTTTTTGCCTTAGCTCAGGATGGAGGGCTCCAGAGCAGAGTAATGGATGCAGCAGCCAAATCGTTCGCTCACCACTTTAATGCCGGTTAGCTCATAAAGTAGAATTTTTGCTGACAAGACTCCACATCTTAGAGGGAGCACTGACGGGTACCCATCTTGATCTATCTGAAGAAGAGAGCAGTGACTCACGAAAGCTCCTCCCCTGCCACAAACTTTGTTAGCTTTTAAGGTGCTCCTGGAGTCTTGCTCTTTTCTGCTGCTAGTAAAGGTAAAGGTTCCCTTGCTCGAAAGTCAGTTGAATCCGACTCTAGGGTTGCGGTACTCATCTCTGTTTCAAAGCCGAAGAGCCAGCGCTGTCCGAAGACGTTTCCGTGGTCATGTGGCCAGCGTGACTAAACACCAAGGCGCATGGAACGCTGTTGCCTTCCCACCAAAGTGGTACCTATTTATCTACTTGCAATGTCTTGCTTTCGAACTGCTAGGTTGGCAGGAGCTGGAACTAGAGACGGGAGCTCACTCCGTCATGCGGCACACCCGGGTCTCGAACTGCTGAACTACCAACCTTCCACAGCCTGCAGTTCAGCGTCTTAACCCCTTGAGCCACCGCAGCTACAGACAGACTAACACGGCTACTCATCTTGATCTATATCTTCCTGTGTTTGCCTTGCACCAAAAGTGACAAACCTGTGAGACCTGAGGCTTCTGGAGTAAGCCTGAGCCCCCCCCTTGAGTGCCCCTGTCTCCTTCCGCCGTTTCAGGCCGCACCATCCTCCTGTCCACCCACTACATGGACGAGGCGGACCTCCTCGGCGACCGCATCGCCATCATCTCCCAGGGCCGACTCTGCTGCTGCGGTTCCTCCCTCTTCCTCAAGACGAAGCTGGGCACGGGCTACTACCTGACCCTGGTGAAGCAAGAGGCCGGCGGGGCTCGCGAGAGGGTGAGCGCGGCCAACGGCCTTGTGTCCACCAGTAAAAAGGTAACTCTGGGCCGTCCCGCGTAGATCTCAGGACCGTAGCAGCCTCTGCTTTGTGTGAGGATCCTAACGCTTCACCAGAGACAGGCAGAGAAAGGCGGAGGGGATTGTGGAAACCCCCAACTGCCTTTCTCGGTCCGCTGTGTCTCTCTGCTTCTCTGCTTTAGGAAGTAGGTGTCTATCAGGGTGGGGCAGGAGTCCCCAGCACGGTGCCCGTGGACACCGTAACACCCACCAACACAGAATGTGGACTTGAGAGCCAGTTTGGTGTCGTGGTTAAGGGCGCGGATTCTAATCTGGGAGAACCGGGTTGGATTCCCCACTCCTCCACTTGCAGCTGCTGGAGGACCTTGGGTCAATCACAAGTTCTCGCAGAGCTGTTCTTTCATGAGCAGTCCTCAGGAAAGCTCTCCCAGCCCCACCTGTGGGGAGGGGAAGGGAAAGGAGTTGGGAAGCCGCTCTGAGACTCCAAGTGAAGGGCGGGGTATAAATCGAATCTCCTCCTCCTTCTTCTCCTTCCTCCTCCTCCTCCCCCCAAGACCCGCCAAGTGTTTTGGGAAAGCAGACAGGGCCAGGTGGTGCTTTTGCTCAGCAAGCCTTCTGATCGGTCACCGGGGATTTGATTGTCTATGCAGATTTCTAAAGACCTCGTTTTGGCACCAGCTGCACAAGGACCTTCACTATGTGATTAAAGGGAAACTGCCGCTGCCATTTTGCGGCTGGCTCTGCCTCCCGTGGCAGCCATTTTGTGGCTGCCCCCACCCCACTTTGTCAGAAGTCCAAAGGTGTCCGTAGGCTCAAGAAGGTTGGGGACCCCTGGGGTAGGGGAAGCAGGGAACTTCAGCTTCTGGAGAGCATATAAGCCAAAATAGACCAGGTGGAGGAAGGTGGCGTGTGTGTGTGTGTGTGTGTGTGTGTGTGTGTGTATGAAAGCCTTATAATGAGTGACCCAGTTTGGTCCGGTGTTTAGAGTGGGCTTTAGCCTGAAAGTGTGGGTTCCTGTCTCACGTTACCTATACGGAGCACCACATTTCCTGGCATAAACCTGGGCACTTGGACTGCCTAACAGTCTTTTTTTAACAGTGCCACCTCTACAAGAAGCTGGGCTTTTTTTGATAGCTGCCCTTTTATTTTGGGACAATCCGCCCGAGGCTGGGTGGTGTGCTCCCTCTTTTCACTTGGACTGCCTAACAGTCTTTTTTTAAACAGTGCCACCTCTGCAAGAAGCTGGGCTTTTTTTGATAGGTGCCCTTTTTGGGGGGGACAATCCGCCCAAGGCTGGGTGGTGTGCTCCCTCTTTCCTGGCTTTTTGCAAGGTTCTGGTTATTCCAGAGAGCTTTTTTGTGCGTGTCAAGTAATAGTTTTGGACTGCCAAATATTTTGCTGAGTCCGAGTTGAGCACCCATCGGGACGTTTTCCGACCCTGCTGTGATTGTTGGCTTGCATTGGTAACTTGTGCAAATGCTTTGGAGTGTGCGGTTTTGGTTTTTTAAAACATTGTTTTCAAAGGCGGCTGCTCTGAGATTTTGGGGACGGGCAGAAGAAAAATGTTTTAAAATGAAATATAAATAGGAAAGCAGAGAGAGAGAGAGAGAGAGAGAGAAGGAGGGAGAGGGCTGGTTGAAGTCTCCTTGGAATGTTTGTTCAGGTTGCGCCCTTTTCTCTGTAGGATGATGACAATTCGGACAGGAGCAGTGATACGGGTCTGGGGAGCGAACAGAACAGCGAATCCAGTGCCTTTGGTGAGCAGATCTTGCAAGGGCTGGAATAGGCCTGGAAGGAGAAGGAAGGCTTGAGATCCAAGATGATTAGAGGGTTGGAGCACCTTCCCTCTGGGGAAAAGCGGAAGGGTCTGGGACTTCTCCGTTTAGAAAAGGGACAACTAAAGGGGGACATGGTACAGGTTTGTAAGTTTATGCACAGCGTGGAGAGACTTGACCAAGAGGACTTTTTCTCCTGCTCCTGAAGTACTAGAATTCGAGGGCATCCAATGAAGCTGATGGGCAGTAGGTTCGGGGCAGACAAAAGGAAATACTACTTTACACATGTGTGAAGTAAAATGTGAAATTTGCTGCCAGAGGATGTAGTGATGGCCACAGGAATAAACAGGGGATTGGACAGATTCGTGGAGGATCGGTCTATCAATGGCTACTAGCCATGGTGGCTGGAGGGAACCTCCACATTCAGAGGCAGTCAACCTCTGAACCCCAGAGGCAGGAGGCAAGGTTAGGGGAAGGCCTTGGCCTCTATGCTTGTTGGCTGTCCAGAGGAACTGGTTGGCCACCGTGTGAGACAGGATGCTGGACTAGATGGACTCTTGGTCTGATCCACCAGAGCTGTTCTTGTGTCCTTATGTTCATATCACAGTTCACCCATGATTAGAATGGGACTGCTTGTTTAAATGGGGGGCAAAGGGCAGATGGACACCCAGGTCCCCCTTTGTACAAAGTCAGGAGGACCCCCATCACTGAGAGCTCTGGGGATATCCTTGCCTGCAGGGCTCTTTTTGTAGCAGGAACTCCTTTGCATATTAGGCCACACACCCCTAATGTAGCCAATGCTCCAAGAGCTTACAGAGCTCTTCTTACAGGGGCTACTGTAAGCTCTTGGAGGATTGGCTACACTAGGGGTGTGTCACTTAATATGCAAATGAGTTCCTGCTGTACTTTCACTCTCCTGAACACGGAATGTGGACTTTTAACTCTCAGATCTTCTAGATATAAGAATGTCCCAACAACGTCAGTGTGAGGTAGGCCCAGTATGGGACTGCTTATATAGGGTTGCCAGTTCTGGGTTGGGAAATTCTTGAAGATTTTTTTTTTTGGGGGGGGGGGGCTGAGGAGGGGGGGATTTGGGGAGGGGGAGGGACCTCAGGGAGGATATGATGTCATAGAGTCCACCCTCCAAAGCAGCCATTTTCTCCAGGGGAACTGATCTCTGTATTCTGGAGATTTGGTGTAATTCCAGGAAATCTACAGGCCTCGCCTGGAGGTTGGCATCCCTAAGCTGTAAAGATGAAGCTGGACCTTTGGTCTGATCCTGCAAGGCTTGTCTGATGTTAATGCTTTCGATTTATTAATTGCTTTCCCCACGAGTGGGCTCAAAGTGATTTACAGTTACACTTTTAGACAGGGGACTAACAATGTTTCATAGAGGATAGGAAAGACAACATATAATTCATTTTAATTGCACATGCCGTAACTGCACGGTGGAAATGTCTCTGGCTTGGATCAGTCATGTCCCGAACGGCTGCGTCGACCGGCTTGATGACGTTGGGGCTTCAGGACCCATATGTCGTATCGCCACACTGCCACCGCCCTGCCGGAGCATCCCACTGCAGTGATTTTTGTAGCCGAGTAGTTTCTTCCGCCTTCCGATCCTGGAGCAGGACGTCCCAACCGACAGCTAACACCTTCCCACAGGGGAGTTGGTGGGAAGCCAGACCCTTGGTCCCTCTCTCTCAGTATTGTTTACTCTGCCCAGCAATGACTCTTGAAGGTCTCCGGCAGAGAAGGGTCATTCCTGAAACCCTCTCTGTAACCTGGAAATGCCTGGGGTAGAAATTTTCAACATAAAAAAACAGGCATCCAGTTGTTCAGCCACAGTCACCGCGCCCCACATAGTCTCTTGCAAAATGAGACCAAGGCTGCTAGCTCAGGATGCCAGGCTAGAATCCGGGAGACTTGGGTTCAAATCCCCCGTCTGCTACAGGAGCTCGCTGGGCAACCTTGGGCAGGTCACACATTCCCTCTGCCTGATCTTCCTCACAACAGAGTTTAGAAGAGTTTGGGAGCTTTTCTTTGGTTTAACTTGTAAACAACCTACAGCCGATGAGGACAAAACAAATCGTTGCACTAAAAGGCATTGGTAATGTGCACATACAAATAATTGGCCACTGTTTGAGGTTGTACTCCTGTTCTTTAGTACCCGCCTGCCAGTTAATCTCTCTGACCGATTTCCCACAGCCGCTGCTCTGCGCTCGCTCCTCTCTTTGCCCCGATGGCACGTGTCAATTTCCCACTCGAAGCCGCGCGGCTGCATTTTGACCCGCGGCTTTGCCCGATTTTGCCTGCGGTTTTGTAATCCTCAAAAAACAGGATCACGAAACCGCGGGGGGAATCGGGCGAAGCCGCACGTCAGAATGCGGCCACATGGCTTAGAGTGGGAAATTGACACACACCATGGGGCAAAGAGAGGAGCGAGCGCAAAGCAGCGGCTGTGGGAAATCGGTCTCTGTGTTGCAAAATCTCTTAATCAGAGGAGAACTAAGCTGGAAGCCATTTCGGCTGACCTCAGTGGAGAACAGCAATGTCGTATATACCTTCAATAAATAAACCAAGAAAGGCAAGAGAAACTTAATGCCACATAGAGACTAACAATCTGGGGCATTCCAGGTGGTCAGCCGTGTTGGTCTAAAGCAGCAGAACAAACGTTGAGTCCAATGGCCCCTTTAAGACCGACAAAGGTTTATTCAAGGTATACACTTTCATGTGCATGCACACTTTTTCAAATTTCAGATTCAAAGTCTAAATTTAGGGGGTATAAGCTTTCAGGAGTCAGATCTGACGGAAATTTGACTCTTGAAAGCTCACCCCCCCAAAAAAAAATCTTGTTGGTCTCTGCTACTGGGCTCAAATCTAAGCTTGTTCTATTGCCGACCAACATGGCTGCCCACTGAAACTGTCTTAATGCCACACACACAGCTAGCTATTTTAATTGCAATTAGACACAGTGGATGGCTTAATAGAATGTGGGCTCAGTGAATGTGCCTCCATGTCCAGATGCAGTCTACCTTTGAGGATCAAATGCTGGAGACAGACGGGGGAGCAGGTTTGTGAGCTCCCCGGAGGCGTTTGGCTGGCTGCTCTCGGAAAGGGGATGTCGCGTTAGAAGGACGCTCAGTCCGGTCTTCTTACGACTGCCCGGAGTGTGTGATGGCCCTCTGTCTGGCTCTTTGCACTCAACCTCTGCTCTCCTTTCTGGCTTGTGTACAGATGTGCCGCAGCTCACAACTCTGATCCAGAAACTGGTCCCGGGCTCGAGGCTGGTGGAGGATATCGGCCAGGAGGTCCTCTACGTCCTGCCGTACAGCGGTGCCAAAGAGGGTGCATTTGGGGACTTGTTTCAGGAACTGGACAGCCGCCTGGGTGAACTTGGCATCTCCAGCTACGGCATTTCTGACACGAGCTTGGAAGAGGTACCCTTCAAAAGATTTGTCTCTCTCCCTGTATTGTTGGTCCTTTCTGCATTTGCCTGCCACTCTGGATTTTTTCAGTGTTTGAAACGAGGCAATTTAAGTCCAGGGCAAAACAGCATCCAAATAACCCTGGGCCACAGCAGGCTGAAACCAGGCTGACCACTGAAGAGAGGGAATGTGAATAAAAAAAAGGTTGAACTCATTTTTAGTGCAGAATGGGAGGAAATCCTGGATTAAAAAAAAAAAGAAGATAAGAGATTGGATTTCTACCCTGCCCTTCACTCGGAGTCTCAGAGCGGCTTACAAAATTCCTTTCCCTTCCCCTCCCCACAACAGACACCCTGTGAGGGAGGTGGGACCGAGAGAGCTCTGGCAGAAACTGCTCTTTTTCAAGAACAGCTGTGCCAGAACTATGGCTTGCCCAAGTTCATCCAGCAGCTGCAAGTGGAGGAGTGGGGAATCAAATCCGGTTCCCCCAGATTGGAGTCCGCACACTTAACCACTACACCAAACTGGCTCTTAACCACTACACGAAAGAAGGCTGAATTCAGTTTTAGTGCAGAATTGCTTGGAGGACACCGCGGTGAGCATGGATTAAAAGGAGAGCGCAGAAAGGTCCATCGTCTTCTGCCAGTGAAGACTTTTTTGTTCTTTTCGGCATACTCCTGACAACTTCTACTGCCCTCCTCCTTGGATTTTGGTATTATGTGTGTTTATATTTTTTTACTGAATTGTTTTTATTGAATTACTTTTTGAATTGTAATATTATTTTATTGAATTATTATTTATATGCATTATGGTTGTTGTGGTTTTGCTGTTGTTATTGAAACATTTTTATGTTACCTTTCCATCCAGTGTCCACAAGGTGGCGAACCCAAAAAAAACAACAGTACAACATTTGAGCAATTAAAAACACAGTTTAGAAATCATAAAATAATTCAGTGAAAAACACAAAAGCGTTATTTTAATTTTTTTTTAATGTTCAGATGTTTTGATGTTTGCCACCTTGAGGATCCTGTTTAGGTAGAAAGGTGGCAGGGAACTGTTTCGAATAAGTAATAGAGAAAAGAAGGTTGCTGCAACAGCAGTTCATAAACAGGAATAAACAGCTTTAAAAGGGGATTAGATAGATTAATGGAGTGGCTACTATCAGTGGCTACTAGTCATGGTGACTGAGGGGAACCTCCACATTCAGAGGCACTAAAAGCCTCTGAATTCCAGAGCCAGGAGGCAACATCATGGGAAGGCCTCAGCCTCTCTGCCCTGCTGTTGGCCCTCCAGAGGAACTGGTTGGCCACTGTGTGAAACAGGATGCTGGACTAGATGGACCACTGGTCTGATCCAGCAGGGCTCTTCTGGTGTTCTTATGAAGGCCTCGGCCTCTGTGCCCAGTTGTTGGCCCTCCAGAGGAACTGGTTGGCCCCTGTGTGAGACAGGATGGTGGACTAGATGGACTACTAGTCCGATCCAGCAGGGCTCTTCTTCTTCTTTATTTATTTTATTAAATTTATATCCCGCCCTCCCCACTGTGGCAGGCTCAGGGCGGCTAACAACATACATATGAATATATACATTAAAACATTATGACTATATACATTATGTTCTTACCAGGGAAAGTCCTCGGCCTCTCTGCCCTGTTGCTGGACCTCCAGAGGAACTGGTTGGCCACTGTGTGAGACAGGATGCTGGACTAGATGGACCACTGGTCTGATCCAGCAGGGTTCTTCTGATGTTCTTATGAAGGCCTCGGCCTCTATGTCCTGTTGTTGGCCCTCTAGAGGAACTGGTTGGCCACTGTGTGAGACAGGATGCTGGACTAGATGGACCACTGGTCTGATCCAGCAGGGTTCTTCTGATGTTCTTATGAAGGCCTCGGCCTCTATGTCCTGTTGTTGGCCCTCTAGAGGAACTGGTTGGCCACTGTGTGAGACAGGATGCTGGACTAGATGGACCACTGGTCTGATCCAGCAGGGTTCTTCTGATGTTCTTATGAAGGCCTCGGCCTCTATGTCCTGTTGTTGGCCCTCTAGAGGAACTGGTTGGCCACTGTGTGAGACAGGATGCTGGACTAGAGCGACCATTAGTCTGATCCAGCAGGCTATTCTTATGTTCTTAATGCCTATCTCTGGCTGGTACAAAAGCACCAACAGCTGGATTTTACAAGACCCAACAAAGGCTTGCAAAGGCAACTGCTGAAGGTGTGTCCTTGTGGGATGGGGGAAGTTTCAGAGTCCAGAGTCTAGTGAAAGATCGCTTTTAGCAGCTGTAGAGGAAGCTGAATCCAGACCACAGGGATTTGTGTGCTGTTCCAAACTTTGTTTTATTTTCTTTTTCCCTCCCAGATCTTCTTGAAGGTGGCCGAGGACACTGGTGTGGATGCAGAAGGTAACTCCCAACCTGACTATCAGCCAGGCTCAGAGCTAGAATTGTAGATGGGGACTCAGAGGTCATCCAGTCAACCCCTTTCCAAAGGGTCTTCCAACCATCACCTCCCATCAAGCCCATCAGCCTCTCATGGGCCCTGTTGAGAACCCAGTAAGCTTTGGTCTTTAATTGCGGAGTCCTGGATTCAAAACTCACTCTCAGCCCAAAAACTGATTGGCAAGGTACTTTTCCTCAGTGTTAGTTCAGAAAAATATTTGTTTATGTGGGCCTAATGTGGAATAACTCCTTCTGTATATCACCTGGAGGAGGAGCCTTCAAGAAGGATTTTAACAGGAGGAGAATGGGAGGAAAATGGTAAAACTCAAATAGGTTTGCCTATTACCAGAAACTTTCCTGTAATTATTTATTTATCTATCAGATTTCTACCCTGCCCTCCTAGGTGAGGCCAGCTCAGGGCGGCTTACATAAAATCATCACATAAAATTACAGTAAAACAGTTGAAACATTGCTAAAACAATTAACCATCTGAATTAATAAGTGCTAGTATGTCGTCATTACATTTAACAGTGGCTGCAGTACTCAGTTCTGTGTTCACATAGCTGGCTCCTAGACTTCTTCGGTGTCTTTACCGTGTCCGTTTTATAGGCCCGGGAACAATGAGGCTGCAAGAGCTGGGCCTGGTTCCTTGTTACTTCCAAGTTTTAAACTGTTTGAACATAAGAACATATGAGAAGCCAATGTTGGATCAGGCCAACGGCCCATCCAGTCCAACACTCTGTGTCACACAGTGGCCAAAAATACCAGGTGCCATCGAGAGGTCCACCAGTGGGGCCAGGACGCTAGAAGCCCTCCCACTTTTGCCCTCCCACCGGCACCAAGAATACAGAGCATCACTTGCCCCAGACCGAGAGTTCCTATCTGTACCTTGTGGCTAATAGCCACTGATGGACCTCTGCTCCATGTGTTTATCTAATTCCCTCTTGAAGCCGTCCGTGCTTGTAGCTGCCACCACCACCTGTGGCAGTGAAGTCCATGTGTCAATCACTCTTTGGGTGAAGAAGGACTTCCTTCTATCCGTTCTAACCCGACTGCTCAGCAATTTAATTGAGTGCCCACGAGTTCTTGTATCGGGAGAAAGGGAGAAAAGGACTTCCTTCTCTACCTGCTCTATCCCATGCATAATCTTGTAAACCTCGATCATGTCACCCCTCAGACGTTGTTCCTCCAAGCTAAAGAGCCCCAGGTGCTGTAACCTTTCTTCATGGGTTCTTTCTTCATTGCTTTTGCATTTTTATCTCCCAGTTGACTAGAGGGGAGCTGCTGTAGCAACGGGAGCCAGTCCCCCTCTTGGTTGGTGGTGGGTGCTGGGCTTATACTGAGAGGAATCCCTGGGGGTTCCCTGTGGCTTCCGAGTTCTCCCATGACCAATGTTCCCTCTAAGCAGTGGAGTCTTGTGAGCAAAAGTTCTACTTTGTGAGCTACTGGCATTAAAGTTGTGAGTGAGCCATTAGGCTGCTGCATAAATTAGTTTGCTCTGGAGCCGTCCTTTCTGAGCTAAGACAAAAATGTGCGAGCCAGAGGCTAAGAAACTGTGAGCTAGCTCACACTAACTCAGCTTAGAGGGAACACTGCCCATGACCCAGCCGGGCACTGACCAGCCGATTCCTATTGACCGTCCACTGTTCACCTCACTGGCACTCTAGTATGTGCTCCCAGCTCTCCTGTCAAAACTGGCAATGCGTCTTCTGCCACGTCTTCTACGCAGGTGCTGCTGAGGCTCCTAAGAACTTCAGCACATCTACGCCAGCCTCTGGTTATACTCTCCGGACCCTCAGCGAGGACACTGAGACAGCTGATGCCGAACCAGGTAAGCCGGGTTGGGTTGGGTGGCAGTTGGGTTGGCGTGTTCTTTGGCTCTGGCATGCACCAGGGGCTCAAGTCTCGAACGAGAGATGGCAGCAGCGGCGTATCCATCCAGCCGCCTTCTGGCGCGTGGGGCTGGCTTCCCATGGGGCTCTGAGCCAGTCTGGTGTAGTGGTTAGGAGCGTGGACTCTAATCCAGGAGAACCGGGTTTGATTCCCCACTCCTCCACGTGCACCTGGCTGGATGACCTGGGACAAGCCATAGTTCTGTCAGAGCTGTTCTCTCAAGGGCAGTCCTCGAAAGAGCTCTCTCAATCCCATCTACCTCACAGGGTGTCTGTTGTGGGAAGAACCCTCCCCCTCCCCCTCCCCCGCCAATCAAATCTCCAAGGACCAATAGCCCCGCCTGGCCCCGCCCACTTTCACTTGACAGGTGGCCTGAAAGGTGTTGACAGGCTGCACGATGCCCACGGGCACCATGTCGGGGACCGCTGGTGCAGCACGTGGCTAGTCCTTATGGTCATAGGGGAAATTCTGAAGTCGTATGGGAAGTAGTATGTGTGTGTGCCCTGAGAGCGGGAGGGCTTTTTCGTACTTTGAAGAGCTCCTTGAGTTTTCTACAGCTGTGTTCTACTTTCAAGCCAGGGAGCTAGATAGAACAGTGGCCTGACTCTGTGTAAAGCAGTTCCACGGGTTCTCTTTTGCAGATCCTTGTCCAAACTTTGTGTCTTCTTTAGAAATGTTTGTCTTGGAGTCAGAACAAGGCATCTGGTTGCATTTTGCCTAGAAACATGATCAGTCAGGCTTTTCAGTCCACAATACCGATTTCCCCTCTTGTTTCCTCCTCCTGTCTAAAAGTCTCACTGGCTGAGAATTCTCTTCTCTGAATAAAGTGAACCATTGCGGGCTCACACCAAGATAAATGTGCTAGTTTTCAAGGGGCCACAAGATTCTTCCTCTGGGCTTGGTTCAGATACGCAAAACCCATAATTTATTTTAATAACCGTCAGTTTTGAAAACAGGGTTCAGCTTTTGTACGGTCACTCCGATCCTGGCTTCACCTCAGCAAATGTTGGTTTCCCGGCATTTGGCTCCGTAGCCAGAGAGTTTGGTGCTAGTAAAGAAGCCAGGGTTAGGTCCGGAGCAGCTGCATTCACAGACTGTACAAAACCGCAGTTAAGGCTATCACCAGCAAATGAACCAACATCAAACCCCAGTTTTGGATCCTGGTTTGGTGGTCCCTAACTAACCATAGTTAATGTAGAACAAATTTAGAATCCAGTGGCACCTTTAAGACCAACAAAGGTTTATTTAAGGTATGAGTTTTCATGTGCAAGGCACACTTTTTCAAATCCATTGGAATGGCAGATGAGGTTCCAAATTTATAGACAGGGATTTAAGAGCACATTGACATGTAACATGATGATGTTTAAGTTATGCAAAGCGAAAAACTAAATAACAAGGTTCTAAGGTCAACAAGTTGTAAAGCAATAAATGTGTCACAATAGCAGATGAATGTCTAAAGGTGTTTTTTTCTAATTGTGGGAAGTAACAGTATCTTAATTATCTCCTCTGAGGCGTAGAGGGCACGTGGAGGGCACTTTGGGCTGGATGTAATGTTGTCAGCAGACATCCATTCAGTGTTCTAATATACTATTCTGAAAAAGAAATACACTAAAATATAGAGGATTTATAGCTCTTGTTGAGAATACATATGTGAGGACTGAATGTTAGCTTTATTTAACTTCACAGGGCTCTTTTTGTAGAAAAAGCCCAGCAGGAACTCATTAGCATAATAGGCCACACCCAACAGCAGAAACTCATTAGCATATTGGGCCACACCCCTGACAGCACAGCTCATTAGCACATTAGGCCACACCCCCATGTTACCAGAAGTGTGGTTATCCAGCCACACCCACCTTTTGCTTGTTATTCTGTTTACCTTGTTTGTTGTCAAAACCCAGGGCTTTCTTTGTAGCAGGAACTCCTTTGCATGTTAGGCCACACACCCCTAATGTAGCCAATCCTAATGAGTTTCTGCTGTTAGGTGTGGCCTGTTATGCTAATGAGTTCCTGCTGGGCAAGGCCAACTCAGGAGCCAGCCGGAACTCCATTCCTGTGCGTTCCTGCCCAAAAATAGCCCTGCTTCTTAATAATATATATTTATTTAATGATATATAGCAGCCAACACCCAAAGAACCCCATTTTGGGTTGTTCCTTAAACGTTAATTGTATTTGTTAAAATTTGGAAATGTTTCCCCATCTGTTGGTATTGCAATATGTTAACGTAGTGCCTCTGTTTAGACCTGGGGTCCCTTACCTTTTGGAGCCCGTGGGCACCTTTCAAATTCTGACACAGGGTGATGGGCACAGCCACAAATAGGCCTTTGGAGGACGTGGAGCTTGTGCACGTGCTCACACCGCAATGACATCACCCAGAAGTGACATCATCACACTGGGCACGTCATGCAGGGGACGCTCTAGCATTCGGCCAAAAACTCTGTGGTCACCATAAATCCAATCTCTTCTCTCTTCTGAGGTGCTACTGGACTTGAATTTAGCTGCCCTCTGAAAATATCAGACCCTGTTTGTCCCGGGTGAAAAATTTGGCAGTCTGCCCTCTGCAGCAATGGTCCCTCTGAGCTGTGGAGTCTTGTGAGCAAAAACTCTACTTTGTGAGCTACTGGCATTAAAGTTGCGAGCGAGCGATTTGGCTGCTGCATCCATTAGTTTTGCCCTGGAGCCGTCCTTCCTGAGCTAAGACAAAAAGTGTGTGAGCTGGAGGCTAAAAAACGGTGAGCTAGCTCACACTAACTCAGCTTAGAGGGACCATTGCTCCGCAGGGGGTTTGGCAGGTGGTGGTGGTGGGGGAAGGGTTCACCCGGGCAGCCCTGAAGGCAACAAAAGACTTCTTCTCTCCTAACCTCTCTTCTCTCTCTTTCTTCCTCCTTTTCTCCGTCTTTCCGCTAAGTCAAAGGACGCAAGAAAGGTAAACGGTTTGGGATGGGATGAATCCTTGTCTCTCAGACAGAATTGGCGCGCTTGGGATGCAGAAGTGCTTTCGAAACGTAGGAGCTGGCTTGGAAAGAGGGAGAGGGTTTCTTGCCAGGCCGGGAGAAAGAGTCTTGTTCGGGCTGATCTCTCTCTGATGATACATCTTGTCCCAGAAAGCACAGCCGAAGGACGCAGAAGGGCAAGTCGGCACTGAGGTCCCAGCCCCTGACTTAGGGTCCCTTCCTCCAGTGACTGGCTGCTGCTGGTGGTTAGTGGGTTCAGAAAAGCCGTGCAGGTGGCAGCCAGGTTCCACTCACAGGGCGGAGAAATCGGTTCCTGACTCTTTCTCAGTGTCGCAGGACCAGGGGTCATCTTGTAGAAAAAGAGGTGCAGGAGCTCATTAGCATAACTTATTTGCATATGCCACGCCCCCTGACATCACCGGAAGTGTGTCAGAAGGCAACACCCACCACTCAGGCTCCACTGGACTGTTTTGGATTGCTAGCTATTTGGGGGGGGGGGACATGCAGATCCTTGTGCTCCTCGTGGTCCGGGGCTGCTGGGAGCAGGGGGCGGGGCTTGTTGCATGTGGCCGCCCCCTGGGCTCTTTACTGCCGGAGCTCTGCTTCTGTGCGCTCCTGCAGGAACTGACCCCTGCGCAGGACCCAGCGGCAGTTCGAGGCTTGAGGTTCTGGAGAAGATGACCAAACTCCTGCAAGAAGAAGGAATCGTATAAGAGTTTAAAAGGCCCTTTGGGGGGTGTTCTTTTGAACTCTTCTGAGAGTTTCACACTTTTAAAGAGAGTCCATCAAGCAAGCTTTGCAGTCTTCCCAGAGTCTCACAGCATTCCTCCTTCTCACAAGAGTTTCGCCACCATTTTGGTTTCCATTGCCGGTACTGATTTTCGAAGGCACCGGGGCAAGTGCAGATGCTGGATTTCTGATTCCCTGTCCTGTTTGTCGGTTCACATGATAACACTAAAACTGGAAGGATTGGGCGGGGGCTGTGGCTCAGTGGAAGAGCCTCTGCTTGGCATGTGGAAGGTCCCAGGTTCAATCCCCGGCATCTCCAGTTAAAAGGACCAGGTAGGAGGTGATGGGAAAGACCTCTGCCTTGAGACCCTGGAGAGCCACTGCCAGTCTGAGTAGACAATACTGACCTCGATGGACCAATGCTCTGATTCAGTATCAGGGACTGTTACTGTGATAAGTGTACTAAACCAAATAATACAATACTGCAAAAATCAGAAAATATATGCTGTTTAAATAAGTTGAATGCCATTTGACTGTAACTCGCCCGAAATGAATGTTCTACTAGCAATTGTGCTTTGTTATTGACCTATGAAGAAAAAATATGTCAGCATCAGGCTTCATGTCTACTCTTATAGATGAGACAAAAAACTAGAAATTATCTATAGAATCTTTTTTTTAAAGCCCCCGGAGGGGATTTTTTTATTGATTTTTAATCACTACAAAAAACTACAACAGAAAAAAGTGAGGGGGAAACTACACATACGGGAGAAAGTAAAGTACCCACTACTATCTAAAAACCCAAGAGAGGAGATCCTCCAACTAGCTTTTATACATCCTTTTTATGAACTGTGTCAAACTTTTAATTTTTTTTACCCTCCCAGTTTACATTTAACTGCCTAATAACAGTGCCCCCAATCATCCCCAGGAACCAAAGTTCTCAAAGGCACAATTCAGAGTCCTTCAGCCTTTACTTCTTCTTCTCTCTTCTCTTCCGCAACTTGTAGGGACTTTTTGGGGCTGCTGCTCCCTGCTCATCAGACGAACCAATTTCCAGGTCGCCACTGGACCTGTTGTCCTCTTCTTTTTTCTCATCCTCTGACCTTCCCAGCTGTTCCTTTAGAAATTCTTGAGCTTTCAGAACAGAGTCAATCTTTTCCTTCTTCTCTTTGATCTTAAATGTTACGCCTTCTGGAAATAGCCATTTGTATCCAATTGAATTTGTTTGGAGAAAGAGCACAAGTTCTTTATATTTCTTTCTGCATTGTCTTACGTCAAATGGAATATCCTTTAGCGTTCTCACAGCATTCTCCCCTGCCTTCAGGGGCGTTGCCGCTACTGCTTTCAGGATAGCATCCCTGATGTGCCTCTTCGAGAATCTTACTACAATTTCCACAGGCAGATAGAAATTATCTATAGAATCTTGTTCAGAAGAAGGAATGTCGAAACAACACAGGACATTCCGGAGCACGTCATTAACATCATTTGCTTCGTTAAAATCCACTTCTGTTTATTTGAAACTGACTGTATTTTTGTATTCCAACCTTGTTAAAAAAGCAGATCACTTTAACTTATTTCTGATTATTTAGTTTAGCGCACTTATCACAGTAACAATCCCTGTGTAGTCTTCTGTAGTGTAATACCTGTTTGCTTAACTCCACTGATTCAGTATCAGACAGCTTCAAATCTGTTAGTGTGTACCAACGACTAACCCACAAAAAACATTAGCAAGGATTTGGGAGGGGCTCAGTGAAAGAGCCTCCGCTTGGTGTGCAGAAAGTCCCAGGTTCAATCCCCAGCATCTCCAGTTAGAAAAAGGACCAGGTAGGAGGTGATGTGAAAGACCTCCCTGAGACCTTGGAGAGCCACCGCCAGTCTGAGTAGACAATGCTGACCTTGATGGACCTGATTCAGTATAAGGCAGCTTCATGTGTTAAGTTAAGTAGTCTTTATTGGCATGGAAAAAAATTGATGCAAGTTAATACAGTTTAATAGGTAAGTTAAAACCACAACATACATATAGATAAAGGTAAAGGTTCCCTTGCTCAAAGGCCAGTTGTGTCCGACTCTAGGGTTGTGGTGCTTATCTCCGTTTCCAAGCCGAAGAGCCAGCGCTGTCCGAAGACGTTTCCGTGGTCATGTGGCCGGCATGACTAAACACCAAGGCGCACGGAACACTGTTACCTTCCCACCGAAGTGGTCCCTATTTATCTACTTGCAATTTCTTGCTTTCGAACTGCTAGGTTGGCAGGAGCTGGAACTAGAGATGGGAGCTCACTCCGTCATGCGGCACACTTGGGTCTCGAACTGCTGAACTACCGACCTTCCACAGCCTGCAGTTCAGCGTACATCAGTGTAAATATAAGACTCTTTCTGTGAGATTCCCTTGGCGTACCTTGATAGCAGAGTCAAGAAACTTAGCCACCTTCTCCGTGGCATTAGATGAGAAATCATTCAAAAGTCTATCAACCTCAAATGCATCAGAACAGTCCCTCATCCTAACTAGAACAGAGTATAAATGCATGTAACATAAATCTGTATACAGGTGACGATAAAGAAGAACATGAGTGATTGACTCAGCACATTTTTGATTACGAGGGCAGGATCCGGCCGAGTTAGGCTGTCTTATTAAATCTGCCATAAAAAATAGCAGAAGGCATGGCTTTACACCTGATGAAGGGCAGCTGCTACACCTAGGTTAAGCCTCCTCCACTGAGGAAGGCAGCAATGGCTAGTGTTGGTGTACTGCTGCGAGAGAGGGGAATCAGTGGACAGATAGATTTCCCCGTCCCAAATTTCACAACCCTTCTTCATGGACCTCTGCACATCTGGACAGGTAGTTTCATCCCTCCATTAGGTATCAACCACCTCTGCTTCCTTATAGTTCTGTATTGTGTGTGTGCAGGGCCGGATTTAGACTTGCTGAGGCCCTAAGCTATACAAAACCCAGAGGCCCCCTACTGTTTTAAATTACATCAGCTGGTCTCAGAAAAATTTAAAATATATACGCCTTTTTAGTATTTGAAATCATTTTTTATATTGTGTTTTTATTTGAGGCCCCAGCAGGTTGCGAGGCCCTAAGCTGTAGCTTATTTAGCTTATGCGTAAATCCGGCACTGTGTGTGTGAGTGTTTGAATATTGTTTGTATGCTTGAGAATGTTTAGTAAAGAAATCATTATTTTAGTCACCCAGTTTCCATGTCTGTTCCTGGGTTCTTGGGAATTCTAACTCTGGTATACACAGGTCAGATCCTACAGATAAGCCAATTGCATATTAATAATTATAATTCCCCATCTTTATTAAATAATAGAGGAATTTGGCTAACAAGATAGACAGCTTCATGTGTTCATTGTGGGGGGGGGGGGGGCGCATTCCAGTTAGCTGGATATTTTGTGACACCGTCACTCTTCTGGGCCGCAGCACCCAGGTCGATCTTTGTAGTCCGCTGTTCGGTCCTGGGAGGCTCGGCTTTCCTCCTCTTATTTTCATATCAGGATTTTGGGTACCCTGGTACATGGCAAGCTGTGAAAGTGCATGGGCGGCGTGGGCAGGGGGGGAGAGGGGAGGAAGGGTTTCTCTTCGGAAGCAGCCCCCCCCCCCCCCCCCCCGCCCGCCCCGCATCCCAAAATTACAAAATGAAGCCTTCTGACAGGAATTAAGGGGCGCTTCTGAGAGCAAAACAATTTAAAAGCGGCAAATTCCCTCGCAAGCCAGAAGGAGCCGGCTAAGCTGTCTGTCGTGTCCCCTGCTCTTTCACCAGCCGAGGAACCAACGGAGACAGATCTCTTGCGCGGCGTGGGTGCCCAGGATTCCGGCCACCTGACGGGCTGGGCACTGACCTACCAGCAGCTGCATGCCCTCTTCACCAAGAGGTTCCTGTATGCCCGGCGTAGCACGAGGGGATTTCTGGCACAAGTAGAACACCTTTCTTTTTCCGCCTGAAGAATTGGGGGGGGGGGGCTCGATGGGTTTCTGGGCCTGACCCTTTCCGGGTTCCCTTTCCAGATAGTGCTTCCTGCCCTCTTCGTCTGCATCGCACTGCTCTTCAGCCTCATCGTCCCGCCCTTTGGCAAATACCCGCCGTTGCCTCTCACGCCCTGGATGTACGGGCCCCAAACGACCTTTTTCAGGTATGCCTTTACTCTCTTCCCGCAGCTGAGTGGGCAACGGGCAGGCTGGTAATGGTAGTCAGTGCTGGTTGGGAGGAGAGAGAGAGAGAGAGAGAGGGAGGATTTATACCCCGCCCTTCACTACCCAAAGGAGTCTCAGAGTGGCTTACAAACTCCTTTCCCTTCCCCTCCCCACAACAGACACCCTGTGAGGCAGGTGGGGCTGAGAAAGCTCTCTCTTGAGAACCGCCCGTGAGAGAACCAGAGGAGAGGAGGAGATTGGATTTATAGTCTGCTTTTCACTACCCAAAGGAGGCTCAGAGCACTTTACAATCCCTTTCCCTCCCCCTCCCCACAACAGACACCCTGTGAGGCAGGTGGGGCTGAGAGAGCTCTTTCAGGAACCGCCTGTGAGAGAACAGCTCTGAGAGAACTTGTGACTGACCCAAGGTCACACCAGCAGCTGTACATGGAGGAGTGGGGAATCAAACCCGGTTCTCCCAGATTAGAGTCCGCCACTCCTAACCACTACACCAAACTGGTTGGTGCCTCACGGAATTCTTGGCGGTGCTAGGAGGAGCTCCGCGCTGGTCAGAAAGCGTCCGTCCCCCTCATTCATTCTGTCAAATCTATCTGCATCCTTCATCCATCTACCTAGTTCTTCTCCTGTCTTTCCTCCAAAGAGCTGCCTGTGGCGTACATGACTCTCCAACTTCCGCTGATTTAGCAGAGCTGCCTGTGGCGTACATGACTCTCCCCCTCCGCTGATTTAGCCTCACGCCAACTCTGTGAGGTAGATTAGGCCAAGAGAGAAAGAGAGCGACTGGCCTAAGGTCGCTGAGAGAGTTCGTGGTTGAGAGGGGGAGGGTTATGGATCTGGGTCTACCCCCAATTCTAATCAAACACTTTAGCCTAGGGGTCCTCAACATTTTTGAGCCTGTGGGCGCCTTTTGGAATTTTATCACAGTGTGGTAGGCACAGCTGCAAAATAGAGGCTGCAAAACGGGTGCCGCAGGAGGCAGCCGCAAAATGGCTGCCAGAGCTTACCTTCAGTCACACAGTGACGGGTCCTTCTGCTGCGCAAGCAACGTTTTTTTTAAAAAAAAATCTGTACGGCCAATCAGAAACCTTGCTGAAGAAAAGTCCTTTCTGGCCCCGCCCACTTTCTGAAAACACTTGGAGGGCACCAGGTAAATTGTTGGCACCACATTAAGGACACCTGGCCTAGTAGTTTATGGTTTATCTCTCCACTACCCAGTGTGTCCTCTTCTGGAGACCATTTTAGAACTCTGCTATCGACTCACATTCTGCTGCGCAAGCAACGTTTAAAAAAAAAAAAAATCTGTACGGCCAATCAGAAACCTTGCTGAAGAAAAGCCCTTTCTGGTCCCGCCCACTTTCTGAAAACACTTGGAGGGCACCCCGTTGAGGAGCCCTGCTGTATCCACTATAACTCTGGTTGTTTTCTCCACCGCCCACCCAGTGAGGACTCCCTGGGCGACGCAGACTCTGCTCGACTCCTGGAAGCCCTTCTGGAAGAGCCGGGCTTTGGCACCAAGTGCGAGAGAGACTCCTCGGAGCTGTGAGTACCCCTGAGGTTTCCTGAACTGCTTAGGCGCGTTATTTCTGAATTAGTGTTGGAGACACGCCCCACTCACTGATGTGGGCAGGATCTGTGATTTTGGAGAAGGCAAGCTCAGAGAGCAGTGTCTCACGCAAACAAGTGGCGGTCAGCTCAAGAGTGTGGGTAATTTTCGTACATCTCTGCGTTCTGAAGTTCATCGGAAGATCCAGTCTTCCTTGATGCTCTGGTGCAGTCGAAGATTCTGTTTCTTGGCGGAGACCCATTGAGCAGTCAGAGCAGTAGGTCATGCAGAGACACGGCAGCCACCCTCTTTGGGTGTTTCCCCTGGCTCCAAGGAAGCCTTTCATGATTTCATTTGCCTCTCGTGACAAATCAGCGTTTGCGCCTCCCGTTCTGTGTTACGCTTATGGCGGCGCCCTCAAATCCTGACCCAAGACCTTGCTCTCCTTCTGCCCCGCTTGCCTTGAGGGTGTCAGGACGCAGTCATGCTCGCACGCTTGGAACTTTGTGAACCCGGAAGTGCCCCCGTCTCTGGTGGAAGTTCTTCGGAATGGCAACTGGACTCTGGGAGACCCCTCTCCGGGATGCGAGTGCAGTTCCCAGGTGGCTCGAAAGATGCTCCCCGATTGCCCGGAAGCGGCCGGAGGGCTACCGCCCCCTCAGGTAAACCATGAGCTTTCCCTGTAGTGGCAGAAAAGAGCAAGAGTCCAGGAGCACCTTAAAGACTAACGGAAGTCCCTTTCTGCACTCTCCGTTTAACCCATGTTCACCGCGGTGTCCTCCAGGCAATTCTGCACTAAAATCTAATTTGACCAGAGGTCCATCAGTGGCTGTTATCCACAAGGTATAGATAGGGGCTCTGGGGCAAGAGATGCTCTGTCTTCTTGGTGCTTGGGGGGGTCAACAGTGGGAGGGCTTCTAATGTCCTGGCCCCACTGCTGGACCTCCTGATGGCACCTGGTATTTCTGGCCACTGTGGGATACAGAGTGTTGGACTGGATGGGCCTTTGGCCTGATCCAAAATTTGCGTCTCTTATTTTTTTATGACCTTTTTAATCCCGGGCCCCCCCCCCCCAATTCTGCACTAAAATAGAGTTCAACCTTCTTTGTATTCTGTGTTCCCCCCCCCCCATTCTGCATTTCATTCCCTCCCTTCAGCGGCCAGCCCGGTTTCAGCCTGCTGTTGTCCCGGGTTATTTGGATGCTATTTTGCCCTGGACTTAAATTGCCTTGACTTGAACCCTTTGAAACTGCGGAGTAGCAGGCTAATGGGGAAAGGATTAAAATTTGTGGCAGGGGATGAGCTTTCGTGAGTCTCTTCTCACTTCTGCCACAAATCTTATTAGTTTTTAAGGTGCTACTAGACTCTTGCTCTTTTCCACTGCTACAGACAGACTTAACGCGGTCACCCATCTCGATCTGTCTGAAGAAGTAAGCAGTGACTCATGAAAGCCCTTAACCCTGCCATAGATTCTGTTAGTCTTTAAGGTGCTACCGGACTCTTGCTCTTTCCTGCTGCTGCAGACAGACTAACGCGGCCACCTGTTCTTGAATTTTCCCTGTGTTTTATAAATCTTCACTGGTGGGGGAGAGGAGGGCAGGACGGCTCCAGCCAAGGTGTTCTGAACCTGTGCTGTCCAGACCTGCCTGCCTTGGCCATTTATTTATGTATTATTTTAATATATTCTTTTATTTTAGAAAGCAAAATATGCTATAGAGGGGATACAAAAGGAAAAGAGGGATTGTATTACAAATTATATATATCGAGATTATTATACATTGCAGGGTATATAAAACAAAAAAAAAGTACATTTTTCTCCCCCAACATCCCCTCCATTGTAGTTTTAAAGACATTTTCGGTAGGATACAGAAGAAGAGAAGAGGAAGAGATTGGATTTATACCCTGCCCTTCACTACCCAGAGGAGTCTGAGAGCGGCTTACAAACTCCTTTCCCTTCCCCTCCCCACAACAGACACCCTGTGAACAGCGTTCCCTCTCAACTGAGTTAGTGTGAGCTAGCTCATGGTTTTGTAGCCTCCAGCTCACATTTTTTTGTCTCCGCTTAGGAAGGAGGGCTCCAGAGCCAACTAATTTATGCAATAGTCAAATTGCTCGCTCACAACTTTTATGCCAGTAGCTCACAAGGTAGAATTTTTGCTCACAAGACTCCACATCTTAGAGGCAGCATTGCCTGTGAGGTAGGTGGGACTGAGAGAGCTCTGACAGAAACTGCTCTTTTTCGAGAACAGCTGTGCCAGAACTATGGCTTGCCCAAGGTCATCCAGCAGGTTCAAGTGGAGGAGTGGGGAATCAAACCCGGTTCTCCCAGAATAGAGTCC